ACACTTCGCATGGTGCAACAAGTGTGCCAGGAAGTCCGCGTTTTGCGCAGTGCGGGCTGAACCTAAAGTTCTGAAGTCTCCAAACCCCACAAAGTGAGTTAGCTTTGGCTATGACCCCTGCCTACATTCGCCCCCCCCCCCAAAAAAAAAAAAAACAAATAAACAAGCTCCAGGAATAATTCCAGGAGCTGTAGGCGACCCCACAATCTGTTTTCCACCCCAAAACCTTAAATCCTACACCCCAAGGCCTGGGCATCTGCTTGAAGCTCCTTCAGCTTCTTCAGGTCCGCCAGCCTAGGGCTCTTGAAAAGGAACCTCAAAAATGCTACCTTGACAAGGGTACCATGCTATTTGCTATATAACTATATAACTATATAACCCTTATCGTATGGGGGGTATTTCATGTTTACATGCCTTAACTAGAGCCCAGCAAAGACACGGCAACCAACAGGCCAAGTAATGGTGTGCGTCTTGTCGCATGTAAAGAGCAATGTAGAACTCATATTTTACATGTTCTGGGATTCTCGGGGTGGGTGGGTATGTCCAGTTACACGAATACAATTGCTGGCCTCGTGAATGCTTGGACTTGAGGCTCTGGCTCCTACAACCCTAAACTGAGTGAGCCCGGGGCCGTCGAGCAGGCGAACGCACTGAAGCCGGCAGGCAAGGGAGCTGCGGAGCCAGAAGCCCCCGGCTCGCGCTGTAGGCAGCTATGGGCTGCGCTTGGGACCAAGCAGGGCAGGTCGCCGGCCAATAACCGGCTCCCAAGCAGTCCAAGGGGCGAAGGCGCCAGCCAAACCCCAACACCAAATCTCAGAACACCGACGCCTCCCGGATACCTGCCAGAGCCTCCAATTTATTCACTTCCAGGGATCTCCCGCTTCTTAGTAGCCCAGTAACCATATTATCACCCTTTCTTTGGGGTTGGCTATTGTATAAGGGAACCCATGACCCCAAAAAAAAAACGGGTAAAGGGTTACCACTGGGCTACCAAGTCTTAGGTCTGCCACGAAATGCCGAGGATGCTACTTGGAGGTTCATGGTACTTTTCAAACCAATTACAACTGTACTTATTTCTGTTCTTATAAGCCCCTTAAGTGCCCTGATATGGTCGTAAGTACAGTTATAAGTGCAGTTATCATTGGTTAAGAAGTACCATGAACCTCCAAGTAGGGCGCCATTCTCAACAAAAGTGATAGCCATGCGCGCCTGGGGTGCTTTCAGCACCAGCGGCCCCCCCCCCCTCAATTGAGACACCCTAATCCCTAAACCAGTTCATCGTTGGGATAGCATTTAAATCATAAATCTGAATTCCTGATTGGGTTTAGGTACCCTTGAAAATGTAACATGTTACCCCGCTATGACACAGTTGAAACCCTAAAACCCTCTGTGCCTGATTCCCATGGGGAGCTCCTCGCCGAGTCTGGCATATTGCTCTTCGAGCCTCGTTCGAGGGTTTAGGGTTTCGTGGGTTTGGGGTTAGGGTTTAGGGCTTCGCACTCGATACCCGACCATCTGAAGCCTTGAGAAGCCCACAAACCTTACCACCCTTGCCTCTTGAACCCAACAACTGCAACAGACCCGGGTACACAGCAGAACCTGTGGCGCCTTCCCAGCACCTCCGCCCTCTGGTTCTTCTCCTGGGGGGCAGGTTTTCTTGCTATGTTTAGGGTTTAGGGTTTAGGGTTTAGGGTTTAGGGTTTAGGGTTTAGGGTTTAGGATTTAGGGTTTAGGGTTTAGGGTTTCGGGGTCTCTTGTGCATGCTTATTTGTGTGTTTGGCTTGTGGGGAGGGAAGGTTCGGTGCAAGGATGGTTTATATAGGGGTCAAGGGTTGGGGTTTAGGGTGAGGGTTTTAGGGTTTAGGTTTAGGGTTTAGGGGGATTAGGGTGGTCTAGGGGTTTGGGGTGTGGGGCGGTGCAGAAAAACGCAATGCAGTTCACTTGCGCGTAGCAGAGATGCAAGCGATGTGTCAGCAAGAAGTCTGAACCCTAAACTCTAAACCCAAAATCTTCCCTAAACCCTAAGAATAGCTGGCATCAGCTATCTCTGGCTCATCACAGTAGCGTGCAGGTGCCCCGGGACAGATTCCCGGAGCCTCTCCCTACTTCAGCCCTAAAGCCTAAACCCAAAAACAGGGTTTGGAGGACCCTAACCCTAAACCCTAAACCCTAAACCCTAAACCCTAAACCCTAAACCCTAAACCCTAAACCCTAAACCCTAAACCCTAAACCCTAAACCCTAAACCCTGTCGCCTGGAGCTGCTTCACCTGCAGCGAGCTTCTGGAGCTGGGTGAAGGCTTCCGGTTTATGACTCCCAAATTTCCCGAGGATTTAGGGTTTACGCTTCAGAGTTCAGGGTTTAGGGCGTAGGGTTGGAGTAGGGTTTAGGGCTAAACTCTGGGGTTCCGTTTACACTCGGGGGTTTCCCCCCCCAAAAAAAAAACCAAAACGGCCCCAGAAGTGGGAAACCTGCCCCACAAGTTGAGCTTGGCAGGTGATTTATACAAAACACGTCGAGGCCATAAGAACAGTAAGGGATCAGCACATGGCTCAATGTGTAGGTTAAACCCCAAAAAGCCCAAAGCTACTTCACTTCTTCTAGGGTCTTGCAATAAACTGGTGTTTCTATCATTCTTGGGCAGCCTATTCTGGGGTTTCGGGCAACGCTTTCAGGGCGCCTTGCAGGCCCCGGCCGCTGGAGCTCTCTTCAGGCTTAAGGCGCTTAGGGAGCTTCGACCGACCCAAGATGGATTGTCTCGGGTAGAGGCCTTGAGGGTCAGGACTTCTAGGTTTGCGGCTGAGGGCTTGGGGCTTAGGGTTTAGGGCGTAGGGTTCGGTGCCCAGAACGTTGAAGCATCAATGATCACCCGGCTATGCGTCGCAACCCCCAACGGACGACCAAAGATGAAGAGAAGGCCTTGGCGACGCCCTCTATCAGCAACAGCTAGTGACATGATCTGATCTAGCTATCTCGCCGCTATAGTGAGTTCGTTCACTATAGGACATACACCCCTAAACCCCAAACAAACCAAAACCCTAAACCATAAACCCGAATTCCTAAGCCAAGGCCTTCTCGACGTCGCCCACTCCTCGAGCCATGTTCTCATCTAGGCCTTGGCAACCAATGCACAATGTAGAGCTCAGGGTGTTAGAGTTTTAGGGTCTAGGGTTGAGGGTTTAAGGTTAGGGCTTCCCTAAACCCTAAACTCTAAACACCATTTTCGAAACTAGCCGTCCGCTGGTAGGTACTGCTCAAGAAACCTCTAATTTCAATTCCCCAAATGGCTCCCTAATGGCAACGCAAGAGCGACCAACCTCGCGTTGTTGAAACTGAAGACCAGAAGTTGGGATGTTCCCCCTTATACTAACAATCCTGAATAGAGACTACAGTACATCCAATTATAATTCCTGTTAAGGACAGGTAGTATAAGGGGAACATCCCGAACCATAAGCTTTCAGACCTCGCGTTTCATTGCATGTCATGAGGGCCTACTGCCTATTTGCTGCATATTACAATACAACCTCATGCAATGAGAGAGACGTATTTATATGTATATATGCAATTCCAAACTCTAAACCCTAAACACCCTGAAGCCGTAACACCAAGAACCCTGAACACCACGTCTTCTGACTGAATGAACCGGAGCGAAAACCCTGCGCCGACTTCTTGCGATGGCCATCGGAGCCATCCGGATTTTAGGGTTTAAGGGGCAGTTTCGGTCTGTTGATCTGACTTTTTGGGGCTAGGGTTTGGGTCAGACCAACAGGGACCCAAGCGCCCGGCAGATTTTGGGGTTGTTTCATGGTCCCTTTCGTACGTCCTTAAAAGGGGACCCTTACATACACCTTCTATACTCAACATGCCCAAGCCTTGAAACTAGGGGCCCGTGAAACTTCTCTTAGACCCTATAGACCGAAAAACCCTAAGTATAAACAAACCCTATAAGCCCTATGAAACCCTTTGAAACCCTATGAAACTCTATGAAACCCTATGAACCCTGTCAACCCTATAAACCCTATAAACCCTAGGGCCCATGAAACTACCCTTAGAGCAGACCGGAAGTCGATAAACCATAGGCTCTGCCGTCGTAGCCCGTGCCCCCGGCGCTGCTCAGCTTTGGCAGCCGCCATCTTTCGCCGTTCCTCGCGCTCTGCCTGCGGGGGTTTCGGGTTTAGGGTTTAGGGTTTTGGGTTGGGCTTTAGGGTTTAGGGTTTCGGGTTTAGGGCTTTAGGGTTTTAGGGCTTTAGGGTTTAGGGATTAGGGTGGCGTGCAACAACCTGGCTTGAAGGGTTCTGGCTTTGTGGTTAGGCCAGACATTGCCGTGCCTTTGTAGTGGTGCTGCCGAAAGCTTTGGGGTTTGAAGATCATGCACCCTGGGAACCTTAACCTTAAACCATAAACCCTACAGGGACGCCCTCTCGAAGGTAGAGCTTCATGATTGGAGCAAAGTGGCGCACTCCTACTTGTGAGGACGGCACGAATAACCCAACGAGCCTACACGTTTTAAACCACCTTCCCTCAGGCGGCGCGAGGACAAACCAACACAACGGGAAGTGCAGCGCTGTGCTCATTGGCAGCCCCATGAGCACAAACCAGTGTGTGCCCCTTGCGAATACTCGTCGAGACCGGCACAGCTGGCACTTCATGACAAAGACATCTTCCACTCCTTCACCCTACACCCTATAACCATAAACCCCAAGCCCTAGCTAGACCCTAACGCTGAACTCCCTGAACCCAAGACGTTTTACCCTAAACCCCGGACCCGAAACCAGTCAATGCCTCGCTGATGTCGGCGGCTTCGGCAGCTGAACCTCGGCCAAGGTGGCGGGTTTAGGAATTACAGGGTTTACCTGGGACTCTATTTACCTACAGTTTTGTAGTGAGCAGCCTCTAAGTAGTAGGTGTACCCATAAAACGGTAGGTAAAGTGAGTCCCAGGTAGGCTTTACTCGACCCAAGAGCAACCCCGAAATACAAAGGGTGTCTGTCCTCTTTCTGCTTACACGGGCTTGGGCTGGCAGAGAAGACAGGCCGTTGCAGCCATCTCCTCCAAAAGAGCAACGAGCGTGCCGCTGGCCTCGCGGCTCTTCTCGCAAGCTTCAGCAGCCGGGCTCAGCGAGACGACATCGCGGACGCCGGACCTGAGAGAAAGCCAACAGCAGAGCTGCCACTGAGAGGAGCCCGCGCAAGCCACGGAGAGGGCGTTCCACGTGATCTCCGTCGGTCGGATGCCAGAGTCGATGGCCTGTGCTAGCAAGTCCATTGCCAGGCGCCAATTGGAGACCTGCGCCAAGGCCGCCAGCCCAGTATTGGTGGAGATCACGTCCCCGCGCAGCCGGCGCAAAGGGATGCACTGGAGGAGTTGCAAAGTCTGCTGCCAGCAGCGCTTCCTTGGTGCACTGGCAGCGGCATTGGCGCAGACAAGGTCGACCGTGGCCCGAAGCCGAGGCAGCGTGGAAAAGATCTTGAGGGCGCCGGGCCACTCCTCCGCCCGCGCGCACGTAGACACCATGGCCCCCAGGGTGACTGAGTCCGGCCGTCCATGCTGGAGAAGCCCAACCAGCAGCTCCGTCGATGCAGCCCAGGCGTGACCCTCGCCAACAGCCGCGATGGCGGCGTTGCGAGCCACCAAGCCGGTGTCCACCCACGGACATGAGCCCAAGGCCTGCTCCCATCGGCCGGTCGCCCCGCACATGCTGAACACCGCGGATGATGCCGATGCTGTCTCGATGCCCAGGGCACGCAGCCCTGAAAGGAACGCCAGGGCCTTCGACCACTGAGGCGACAGCTCGAAGGCAGACAGCACACAGCTGATCGACACCGCATCTGGCCGGCACGTGCGCTGGAGGTGTCGGAATAGATGGACAGCGGTCAGCCACTTCCGTGCATGTGTGCATGCGATGATGGCCGAGTTGAATGTGATCAGATTTGGAGCCGGTCCACCCCGGCACATTGCCTCTAGCAATGCGAGTGACTGCGTCCACTCCTCGGCCTCATCGCAGGCAGAGATGGCGCAGGAGCAAACCACTGCATTGGGAGGGACTGTCTGCTCCTTCATCACATGGAGGAGCTGGAGGGCCAGCTGCCACGCAGCTCCTCGTGCCAAAGCATTCATGGTGGCCCCGTAGGTCATCACGTTGGGCCTTAGTCCCAAGGCCATGTTGAAGAGAAGAAATACAGCATGCTCCCAGAGACTGCAAGAAGCCAACGTGTCGATCGCCGCAGTCACAGCTTCAATCTGCGGCCTCTGCACGGACAGCAGCCCCACGGCCACCTGCCAGCGACTGGAGGCTTTGCAGCTGCCAACAAGTATGTTGTGGGTCACAGCGTCCGCCTGGAGGCCTTCGAGTTGCAGGAGCGTGCAAAGCCACACCGCACACTGCCAGCGCTGGGCCTCATTGGCCACCGCGGCCGCCGTGTTGAACGTCACGGTATCTGCGGGCGGCAGCCCAGATCCCGGCTGCCTCATCTGCTGGAGCAACTCGGACGCCAAGTCCCATCGCTGGCCTTTGCCCAGAGCCGCCATGGCGGCGTTGCAGGTGACGGCACTGGGCGCTGGCCCTTCGCGCCTCATCTCCGCGAACATCTGCAGCGCCGACTCCCAGCCGGACGCCTTTCCGAGGGCGCTGATGCAACAGGTGCAGGCGTAAGCGTCCGCAGAGTAGCCGTCGTCCATGCCGGAATGGAACAGCTGCAACACCTGCACCCATTTCGAAGCCTTCTCGGCCGCCGAGATCACCGCGTTGTGCAGGATCGTGTCGGGCTGGAGCTCTGCCAGCTTCAGGTCCTCGAAGGTGCTGAGGGCAGCTTGCCACCGCTGGACCCGGCCGAGCTTGCTTATGGCGACCGTCGCCGACTTCAAGCTCCCAACGTCTGGCTTTGCCCTGGGGCTGCTGCGGATCATCCCGGCCATGAGGCGCCATGATGGGAAGACAAGGGGCTTCTTGCGGGGGCTTGGGGATAGAAGGGAAGCTAAGCCCAGCGAGAAGGGAATGAGGGTCTGGGTCCTAGGTTGAGGCTTAGGATAGGGTTTAGGGTCAACGAGGCTTTAGGGTGTCAGGGCTGCTTAAATTGGGGGTTAGGGCATAGGGCCTAGGGCTTAAGGCTTAGAATTATGATTTAAAACTTAAGATATCAGACACCACTCCCTCGAGCTTTGTACGACGAACATCCGCAACCAAACTGAGCAAAAACGACGGCATCAAGTACTGCAACAAAAACACGCAACAACAACCCATTTAAAACACTTGCATCAAGATACACTCACATGAAAGGCAAGGGCGTGTAAGCCACTTCACCCTAACCCTTAAACCCCTAAACCAACGGACCCCCAATCTTCTTCGTAGCCCAGAAACGATATTACAATAGGGTACCCTTTTTGGGTTGGTTAATTACTTTATAAGGGAGCCTAGAACCAAAAATAAGTGCAAAAGGGCACCGCTGGGCTACCCAAACCCTGAACCCTGAACCCTAAACCCTAAACGCTGGGCTACCCTAAACCCTAAACCAAGGCTTTTCTCCTCACGGGTGTAGCGTCCTCATCAAAGCGGTAACGCGGCACTGGGTTCCACCAAGGCAAAGGTAGTCGCTGCCGACACCGAACTTCTCGCCTGCCCGACAAAGAACAGGGTTAAGGGTTTACAGTTTATAGGGTAGAGGGTATAGGGTTTAGGGTTCCATGTTTAGTTCGTCCTCCTGGCATCACGTGTGTTGGTGGCCCCTGTCGATAAGCACAGGTGACTTTATTACCTACTTCTCCAATACCCAGCTAACTAAGGAAACCCAAACACCTTAAAGTTCAACTGCTGGCCTGGCTAAGTAAGAACAGGGTCCAGTGCTTGGGGTGGGGGGGCCCCCATCACAATACCTCCTCCACGTCATTGGTAACTGGCTGTTGAAGCTTGTTCCCTGACGCTGTGTTCATCTGGAATTCAGACAACTGGCACAATCCATATGTCTACTCCCTGAACCATGCCAAAATGACGACCTTGAGCAAGCATGCGCTGATACCGCTTCAACGCCCTTGGATAGGGGGTTGTTGCCGAGAGATCGGCTCAAGCAAGCATGATGTCATACTCGATGTTCTTCGGCCCCCCTCCAAAACAATAAGCAAACCAACTACCAGGAGAATAAGAAAAAACAGAACAAGAACAAAGATGCCCATATAAGTATATACACATATTTGGATTTATATTTGTAGATAGATAGATAGTTAGATATATCTATATCTACATCTATATATATATATTAGGGCCTAAGTTCTCCCAGCAATCGAAAGTTTGAAAGCCCAAGCCCTCAAATCTAAGCCCTCCCGAAACCCCAAACTTTCAACCCCAAACCCCCAAACCCTAAGCCCTACACCCCAAACCTCTTAAACCCAAAGCCCGAAACCCTGAACCCTAAACCCGAAACCCTTAACCCAAACCCCAAAGCCACGCGCGTGCTCTCTGGGCTCCCAGCAAAAAGCCGTCTCGCAACGCAGCCTAGCCGAAGCTGATGCTGGGGTTTGGAGTGATTAGGGTTTAGGGTTCAGGGTTTTTTTTGGGTTCAGAGTTTAGGGCTTGCAAGAAGGGCTTAGGGCATCGGGGCTTCGCGGCTTCGGGTGTGAGGGCTTGTGAGTACAGGATGGTAATGCGCCACCTACACACTACGATCGAGGTGTCCAGAGAAGTGCATCCAACACACTGCGCGTAACGCCACGGGTAACGCTACTGGTAGGAGCCACGGAGTGAACACTCGCAGCCTTCAGACCGATCCACTCTCAAACCGAGAATTGGCTCTTCGGTTGATTTTGCTTTCATTTTGGAATTTGTGTTTTTGTTGTTTTTTTTGGAGGGGGGGGGGAAGGTGGGTTCAGTGGGGCGCCTTGGTGCTGACGCTACGGAATGCAACATTGCAACATGGCTGCCGGGGCACACACCCTAAACCCTACAGCAAAAGGGGTTGATCTAGATGATGGGCTCTTCTTGGCAGACCCCCAATCTTAAACCCCCTAAACCCCCCAAACCCCAACTGTCAGGAAACACACTGTAAGCCACACCATCCCAGGGCCCCAATGAGCTCGGACCCACCCGGATATTTACCCTAAACCCTAAACCCTAAACCCTAAACCCTAAACCCTGAACCCTGAACCCTAAACCCTAAACCCTAACCTTTTGTCGAAAATGCGAAAGAAACGCGTGTAGTTTTTATCGAAGGAGCCCCGCAGCCCAGAAGCTCTTAGGCGTCCTAAGCGTGTCTGATCTGCTATGGTTCATAATCCACTATAGTATACTCTACTATACGAAAAATGGCAAAGTGGACTACAGTATACTAGAAGACTGTAGTAGAGAATGCACATGCTGTATATAGATATGAAGGGAGAGACAATGTCATCTACGAATACCTTCTGCTGCGATATACTCAACCACGCAAATGTGCGACAACATGGCACCTGACACGCTAAGACACGATACTCGGCTGCATCACTTCGGGGGTTTCCAAGGTGGGGGGGGTTTCCGAAATTAGGGGGTACCTTCTTGGGGTCTTTTTTCTGAGGGATCCTACTATTTGGAGATCTATATTGGGGGTCTACTATTTGGGTCGTTCCCAAACTAGGGGTACCCCAATTATACTTCCTAAATAGATAGAAGCCCCTTCTAAAGGGCACCCCTACTTTCGGAAACCCCCATATGCAGATGGGCCCTTATAAGGGGTCCAAACCCTAAACCCTAAACCCTAAACCCTAAACCCTAAACCCTAAACCCTAAACCCTAAACCCTAAACCCTCAACCCTAAACCCTAAAACAAAAAAAAGTACCCCTATGTTTGGAAGCCCCCATTTCGTAAACCCCCAGGTCGCCTGCTTGTTGCGTAGAGCTCGGTGCTGGTCGCGTGCTTGGCGTGCTGAGGGCGCTCCTGTGAGAATTCGGGTTTAGGGTTTAGGGTTTAGGGTTTCGGGTTTAGGGTTTGGGGCACTTCAGGGCTTCTCAAGGGGCTCCGCGGAGGTTTACCCCCAAAGCATGTATAAAATTGTCATCCCTGTATTGCCCTAAGGAAGAATGTGTTCTTCTTTTTTTTTGGGAAGGGGGGGGGGGTCTTAAACACTTAGTTGTTGAGGGTTGATAGAGCTTAGGTTTTAGGGCTTAGGGCTTTTAGGGCTTAGGACGTTAAGAGCTCCAGGGTTTAGGATTCGGGGGGTTTGCTGCAGTCGCTGGTGCCTCCAGCCGCCAGAGCGGTACCTGGCGGCAAGCAAGCGGGCGAAGAAACTCTCACCAGGAGCCCGCGCAGCATGACTTAACCCTAAACCCTAAACCCTAAACCCTAAACCCTAAACCCTAAACCCTAAACCCTAAACCCTAAACCCTAAACCCTATACCCTAAGTCTAAACTCTAAACCCTAAACACGAAACCCCTCAACCCGAAACCCTAAACCCCAAAGCCTTGCCTCCTGCTGCACCAAGGGAACCCAGTAGTGGTTGCTGGACAGCGGGAGCTTACACCTGATGCAGGTCTCTTCATCCACTCTCTGTGGCAAACCTCCCCCTAAACCCTAAACCCTAAAACCTAGACCCAAAACCCTAAACCCTAAACCCCAAACCCTAAACCCCAATTTTGCCCGGGCGCATCTCCATGAAGGCCAGGTACAACATGTAGCAGCACTTCAGGTGGTCGTAGCTGTGCCGGTCGGTGTGCTCCCAAGCAAGCACCATCCTCAAACGTCTGGCTGGCTCTTAATTACTAGGGAATGGGGGAATTAGGTACCCGATATATATGTATACATGTACATACATACATACATATATGTATATATATATATTATATTATATAATCCCTTAGAAGGGTATATATAGGGGGATATAGAGTACCCTGTAGAACCAGCCAGTGGGGGCTGAGGGGTGTATGGAGGCTTGCAACCTTTGCCCTTTACCCCAAACCCTAAACCCCTCAATGTTCCAGATTTGGTGGTTTCCAAAATTAGGGGTACCTTATTGGGGTCCTTTTCGTAAGGGAATCCTATTTACATTAGGGGTCCCTTACTTTCGGAAACCCCCATTTAGGTTTAGGGTTGGGGCTTAGCGTACCCTAACCCCAAAACTCAAAACCCAAAACCCTAAACCCTACCTAAATTTACAGGGGGCCAGGGTGACTCCGGCCCAGGCACTGGAGCAGCAGCTCGCAGCGCGCCGCCACGAGTGTCACGGCGCACTTGGACAAGCTCGGATCTCCCTCCTCAAGGGCTGCCGGGGCTTTAGGGTGGTAGGGTTTAGGGTTTAGGGTTTAGGGTTTAGGGTTTAGGGTTTAGGGTTTAGGGTTTAGGGTTTAGGGTTTAGGGTTTAGGGGGACTATCTGCTGTGTATGTAGGGGGTTGAGGGTTCAGGGTTCAAAATGCAGGGGGACTATGTAGTACTGGGAGACTATCTTTCTAGTTCTTAGTCAACGCAGGGAAGTACCTGATATCAAACAAAAAGACGCTGCTCAACCCTAAACCCTAAACCCTAAACCCTAAACCCTAAACCCTAAACCCTAAACCCTAAACCCTAAACCCTAAGCTATTCAGGAGATCAAGTCCGGGTTGCTGAAGCCCTCCGGAATAAGGGTTCAGGGCTTTGCTACTCATGGGAGAGTCCTCGCCCCCAAACCAGGCTTTCCTATCACAAGGATGCTTTCAGGAACCAGGATTCTTGAATCCCTAGACCCTAAACCCTAAACCCTAAGTTAAAGTGCCCTGAGCTCAAATCCCTGCCGTCCTGCAGAAGAGCTGAAACGCTCATCTCTCCTGCCTTCAGCAGAAGCTCGTACTGCCACACCTGCGCCGCGGCGTGGGGAGTTCGTAAAAGGCGAGCGGGCCCAGCGCCAGCAGGGTGTAGAGTCAGGGCTGGGTTTGGGGTTTAGGGCAGTTTAGGGTATAGGGTGTAGTGTTTGGGGTTCAGCTTCGTGGCCACACTCCCTCAGAGGTTTGACGGCCCTGGGGGCAAAAGTGAGCTGAGCCTACTGTCGGGGGCGTTAATCATTAGAATAGGTTTTTGGGAGTTACTATCGTATAACTATATAGGAACCCCAAGTATGCTGAATAGGAATGGGGATATTATCATATAACTACACAGGAACAACCCCAAACCCTAAACCCTAAACCCTACACCCTAGTAATACTTTTCGACCCCCCGTATATTACGTGACAAAAGCTTGCTTTTTTCCATTGCGCCAGAGCGCTGCCAAGATGCCCGCGGTTCGGGGTTTAGGGCTTAGGGTTTAGGGTTTAGGACTTAGGGTTTAGGGACTTCGGGGGTTTCGGAGTTAGGGGTTCAGGGGTTCAGGGTGTAGGGGTTTAGGGTGTTGGGGGGGTTCAGGGTGTAAGGCTTCGGGCTTCGGGGTTTTGGGGTCCCGGGGTGTCGAGGGTTTACGGCTTAGGGGTGTTTAGGGCTCGCACGTACCCTGAACCCGAAACTGCCTTCTTGGTTTGGGTTCTTCTAATTGGGAACTCATGCCTAAACCATATAAACCCTGAACCCTGAACCCTGAACCCTAAACCCTGAACCCTGAACCCTGAACCCTGAACCCTAAACCCTAAACCCTAAACCCTAAACCCTGAACCCTGAACCCTAAAACCCTCAACCGCAGTCTCTTGGCACCGGCACCTGAGTGCAGCACCAAACGCCGCACCAGTACAAAGGCAGTGCCAGGTGCAAATACCTGGGATTCGGGGGGGGGGGGGGGGGGGGTTATGAAAAGAGGGTTTAGGGTTTAGGGCTTAGGGTTTAGGGTTTAGGGGACCCCCATATAAACCCCCAAATAGTTGGATTACCTTATAATCAGGACCCCCAATAAGGTACCCCTAATGTCGGAACCCCCCCCCCATTTGAGGTTTGAGGGATTTGAAGGGGGGAGGGGGGGAGGGAGGCGTTCAGGGTTTGGGGTTGAGGGACTTTGGGTTTAGGGCGTCGGGGGGCTTGAAGCGATGTATGTCAGGGGGCTTTTAAATGGGGCGGTTGAGGGTTGCAGGTTTCGACTCGAGTAACCCTTAATCCCCTTGCACCCCAAGGTATTGATTTGCAAGAGAGAGAGAAAGAGAGAGAGAGAGAGAGAGGGTAGTTCTCTAAGTTAGGCTCCCTTGCGGGTCCTTATTTAGGAAGACGCGCGAAGTTCCATCCTCGGCGTCGGCGCCCGGAATTCTACATGATGACTTTGTCGGGCTTTAGCGCTCCAAGGTTCAGGGCTTCAGGGTGGTTTTGGGGTGCTGAGGCTTTTGGTTTCTGGGTTCAGGGTCGAAGGCCTAGGGGTTTGGGGGGTAGTGTTGGGTTCAGGGTGTTACGAGGACGTTAACCTCAAAGCTTGCATGCTTTGGCAGGGCACCAAGCAACTTCACGTTCTCGCCAAGAGTGGTCCATGGCCAGCGCCATCTTAGATGCGAAGGGTTTAGGGTTTAGGGTTTAGGGTTTAGGGTTTAGGGTTTAGGGTTTAGGGTTTAGGGTTTAGGGTTTAGGGTTTAGGGTTTAGGGCTACCCTACATCGTACAAACCCTAAGCCCGAAGCCTCCTAAAGCCCCAAGGGGGCCGCCTGAACCCTGCAAGCCCTGCAAAAGACCCCCACGCCGAGCACCCCTAAACCACAAAACCTGAAAACCCTAAGCCCTAAGCCCTAAACCCTAAGCCCTAAGCCCTAAGCCCAAATCCCTAAACCCTAAACCTAAACCTTAAGCCACCCTGAGACTCACAGCTCGAAATTCAAGAAATACCCAGTGCACGGCCACAGCACGAAAGCTAGTGGATGTGTGACAGATGGTGGTTTCCCAAAAAAAATGTGGTGAAAACTCAAGTGTCAAATTAATGTGTAAAGTAAGGAAAGGCGTGGCGTCAAACATCGAACACGCACGTTCTTCTACTTCTACTTTTACTTCTGCTTCTACTCCTGTTCCTACTCTCCTGTTCCTACTCTCCTGCTCCTACTCCTACTCCTACTCCTACGACCACGACGGGTCTACAGAGGGAGGGCCACATAGTTGGAGCAACAAGCAGCACGGCGCGTGTGGCTCAGGATCTCCTGGAGGAGCGGCATGCAATGGGAACCGGCCTGCAACACACTTCGGGTTTGAGGTCCCAGGTGTGTTCTTGCTGCCAACTCGAGGGCGTTTAAGGGCCTCTATTGCAAAAAGAATGGTGCCTGAATTTAGGGCTTCATCAAGGAACCTCAGCTATTTTGGGGGGCGTAGTGTGGGCGATTTCGTGCGGGATGTGTTTGGGGGTGTTTGAAGATCTGGCCCCCATCCAACTGCTTCGAAACGCCCTGGATCGCCAAACCGAGTGCTCCGTTTTCACGCCTTCCCTCGCATCTTCCACGGCGAACCACATTTTGAAGTCTTGCAGCCGATGGTTTCTTCTGCAAGCATTGGCACTTCCCAGGTAGGGGCAACCCGAATATACCCTTAAAATACAATTATCGTCAGTACAGGAACAGGAACACCCCAAGAAGCGTCCCCTCCCCCCGCCCCCCCGATGCTCTAAGACACCAAACGAACGAACGAACGAACGAACGAACGAACGAACGAACGAACGAACGAACGAACACACACACACACATCTATCTTGTGCAAGGTTTACGATACAGGGCTTTGCAAGCATGATCTCCAAAAACAATCTGCCCCGAAACCCTGAACCCTAAACCCTATACACCCTAAACCCCAAATCCTAAACTCTAAACCCCAAATCCTAAACCCTAAACCCCAAACCCCAAACCCTAAACCCCAAACCCTAAACCCCAAACCCCAAACCCCAAACCCCAAACCCTAAACCCTAAACCCTAAACCTTAAACCCTAAACCCTAAACCCTAAACCCTAAAGCCTAAGCCCACGCCTCTTCGGGCCGGTCACGGAGATCCGCCATCTGATCCCGTAGCTGGCTTTCGAAGGCGTCCTGGCGGAGCATCAAGGGATGACAGGATAGTTTAGGGTTTAGGGTTTAGGGTTTAGGGTTTAGGGTTTAGGGTTTAGGGTTGAGGGGTTGAGGGGTTGAGGGTTGAGGGTTGAGGGGTTTAGGGTTTGGGGTTGAGGGGTTTGGGGTTTGGGGTCTGGGGTTCGAGGTAAACCTTAAACAAAAAAGGGAATAAATGCACCGCTGAACGTCCGAGTATAGGGCTCCGGTATTACAGGGTTCCCAATCATGGGTCCGTATTTGAACTTAGAGAACCTAAACCCCAAACCCTAAACCCTAACCCTGACCCTGAACCCATCTGTGGGGCCCCGGATCGAAGTTGTGGGCACTCCTGGTGGAGTGCACGAAGGTCAAAGGAATGCAGGATAAAGGGGACCTCAAAATGAGCCATGGTTAGAACAACCACCCCTTAAAGTCTAAACACGCTGAAACTCCATACCCCTCGCCCCCCCCCCCCCGCAAAAAACAGCAAAAACAACAAAATAAATGAATAAACAAACGAATAACTGAATCAATAAATAAGTACATAAATAAACATGTTTAATACTAATAATGATAATACAAATCATCATAATCGAAATAAATAATGCTACAAATACTAATAAGCACCAGCACCGGGCCCAAACCTTAAGCCTTCACCCCCGAGCGTCTCTGCCCTTGGGGACCAAATTAACTCTGAAATCGGGATCCTAAACCCCAAGCCCTAAACCCTAAAATCCTACAGCCTAAAGCCTATAGACCCTAGACCCTATATATATATATATATATATACATATAGACCCTGGACCCTGGACCCTAGACCCTAGACCCTAGACCCTAGACCCTAGACCCTAGACCCTAAACCCTAAACCCTAAACCCTAAACCCTAAACCCTAAACCCTGAGGCCCGGGCCATCGCAGCTTTGGAGGCCGCCGCAGCATTGGTTCCTCTCGTGTGGCTGCAGGTTTAGGGTTTAGGGTCTAGGGTCTAGGGTCTAGGGTTTAGGGTTAAGGGTTACCCTGCTCATGACCTTACTTACAAGTAGCCATGAGCCGCCAAGCAGGGGTTTAGGGTGATGAGATTTAAAGGATTTAGGGTCAACCCCCACAGTTCTGTGGTTCCCGGTCCTGGCAGAGTGTCCGCTTCCTCAGGCAAAGCCGCCGCGGAATTCGGGTTGGGGTTTGTAAGTAAAGTATCCGAATCCGAAGAGTCCCAAAATGCCTCCAAAAGCTATCTGCTTCAGGCAAGGTACAAAGGCACATCGTTCACAGCGGCAGGAAAAGCCCATCGCCTGAAGCATATGAGTTCAGAGCCACTGCTACAGCACGAGGCCCATCTTGTCTGCAGGTAGCTCTCTTTTCGTAGTCGCCCCTGAAACTGGGCCCCCTACACCCTAAGACCCAAACCCTAAACCCTAAGTCCTAAACCCTAAACCCTAAACCCCCAAGAAGCTCCTACGCCCTAGAAGCCCCGAAGCCCACGAAGTCAGCTTCAGGTGTTTCCCCCCCCATCCTGCGAGCGCTCGCGCCGGCGATGGAGTGAGCCACTCACCTGTAAAGGGCTCAGGTTTAGGATTTGGGGTTTTAGGGTTCAGGGTGTAAGGTTTAGGGTTGAGGTTTTTAGGGTTTAGGGCAGGGTTTAGGGTCATATCAGAAATGCCAGAGAGGGTGCAGAACAACGAGAATGGACATGAACCTAATGGGTATTTTTGGGGCAGTTTGTCTTTTGCTTACATGGGGGACAGGGAATGATATTGGCAGTCCTGTTTTGGGCTCCCAATGTCTGTGGACATTCACAATGTCAGACTTGCAAAGACACATCGTGCCCACTGCCACGCCGAAAGAGGCGCTGGGGTGGGTTAGACCCTAAACCCTAAACCCTAAACCCTAAACCTTAAACCCTAAACCCTAAACCCTAGAGCCTGGACCGCGTCATCGCAAGCTGCTAACCGCCCTCCTAAACCATCAACCCATGCGCCGGCGCCTTAAAATAAGGGAAGAAGATCTCGGAGCCTGCCGCGATCTCCTCTCTGTATCTAAAGGGGGTCAGGGTTCAGGGTTTAGGGTTTAGGGTTTAGGGTTTAGAGACTGCTGCCGATATATGCATGGCGATGGCTCCCATCATCCAGCAGAGTTCAGCAGCCCAAGCCGTCCGATAAAGCAAAGCATCGCACGTGAATCTCAAGCTGGTTTGGGGTTTAGGGTTTAGGGTTTAGGGTTTGGGGTTTGGGGTTTGGGGTTTAGGGCTTAGTCGGAGGTTTAGAGGCAGGTGGGCTGTCCGTCTCCGCCCGGAAGAGGATGGCATCACCCAGGGGGTCCAGGATGTTTGCACTGGCATTCACGCTGCCGCAACCTCGGATGCGGGTTTAAGGTTTAGGGTTTAGGGTTTAGGGTTTAGGGTTTAGGGTTCAGGGCGCCCCGTGTCCGGTATCCTCGGCCTATCGAAGCTGTTGTGGGTTTGCGAAACTAAGGGGCCCTTAATGTAGACCCCCAAATAGTAAGACTCCCCTAAGGTACCCCCCAATTTCGGAAACCGCCGTTTGAGGACCAAAAGGAAAATACAAACCTTCCCAAGGATGTACCCTCGGCCATACTTCCCGAAGGTCGTCAGAACATCCCCCAGAGAGGGTCCATTTGTAGTACTATTAATTATGGAATGAGGTACCCGAAAAACTCTATCTAGGATGGTTTGTGGGTACCCAATTCCATACCAGTACTACAAATGGACCCTCTGGGTCTTGTGGGCATGCGTCAGGTACAAACCCTAAACCCTAAACCCAAAACCCTAACCCTAAACCCTAAAGTCGTGGCTTCATGCCGCCCGAGAGGCTGTGGTTGATCATGGACGGAAGCCCGTAGATGGCGGTCTTTGAATTCACGTGGAAGGAATTCCTGGCAGGGGATGGTGGGTTATCTCAGAGAGGGTTTAGGGTTTAGGGGCCTTAACCCTAAACCCTAAACCCTAAACCCTAAACTCTAAACCCTAAACACGAACCCCTGAGCCCTTCTGAGGATCCTGTTGCAAGGTTTTGGCCCCAAAGTGTGCTTCTGGCACTTCGGATGCCCTCTGCATCCTAAACCCCGAAAATAACCCGAAGAACCCTAAATACCCTGCGCCCAATAGGCCTACACCCTACACCCCAAACCACGCAGAGAGCGAGAGAGAGAGGATGCGGAGAGGGGAAAGAGAGAGAGAGAGAGAGATGCTCTTGCATCCCAGGGTCCGGTCCACCACGTTGACAAGCGCCTGCAAACATGGCCCTCCTAGACCAGGAACCACGTGGGGGTTCCCGAAAAGAGGGGCACCTTTTTTTGGGGGTCCCCAGAAGGGGATTCTATACTACTAGAATTCATTTTTTAAAGGGGCGCGTACCCCTATTTTGGGAAACCCCCATAATGTAATACAGGGCTTTGGGTTCAGGTCTCAGTGGCCTAGCCGGTTCGACTCACAACACACGGATCCATCGACAGAGTTTTGGGGAGTTTAGGGTTTCAGGGTTCAGGGTTTAGGGTTTAGGGTTTCAGGGTTTCAGGGTTTCAGGGTTTCAGGGTTTCAGGGTTTCAGGGTTTCAGGGTTTCAGGGTTTCAGGGTTTCAGGGTTTCAGGGTTTCAGGGTTTCAGGGTTTCAGGGTTTCAGGGTTTCAGGGTTTCAGGGCTTAGTGCTTCAGGAGCATTTTAGGGCTTTAGGGAGTTGAAGTTGAGGGTTCCGGCTTGGTTGTTTCGCAAGGGCCCTAAACCCTAAACCCTAAACCCTAAACCCTAAACCCGAAACCCTGAACCCCCCCTGGCAGGCCTCCCTTGTGAGGAAGCTTCCCAGCGACTCCATTGGCTGGGAATCCGGCTGCGGCCACAGCGCGTGCGAAGCAACCGCCAAGGTGGGAGGAGCCCGTGACGCCCAACCATCCTCAGACGTTAGGGTTTAGGGTTTAGGGTTTAAAGTTTAGGGCAGAGGATGGCCCAGGATGTCTGACTACCTGTAGTATAAGGGAACCCTGAACCCTAAACCCTAACCCCTAAACCCTACACCCTAAACCCTAAACCCTAAACCCTAAACCCTTAACCCTACACCCTAAACCCTAAACCCTAAACCCTGAACCCTAATCCGGACTACCAAGGCAGGCTCTTCATCCAGGCGTCCGTCAGGCATTGCAGCTGGCACCGGGTGCGCGCAGAGTTTCTGCACGCATCCTCGGGTCTGTCTGCATGCTCCGGAGGGTTATTGGGGTTGAGGGCTTATAGGGTTTAGGGTTTACGGGGTGTATGGGGCTGATGGGGTTTAAGGTTTGGGTTTAGGGTTTTGGTTTAGGGTTTACAGGGTTTATAGGGTTTTATAGGACTGTTAAACCGTTTAGGGTTTCCCCAAACCCCAAACCCCAGCTCCTAAACCCCAAGCCCTAAACCCCAAACCCCAAACCCCAACTCCTAAACCCTAAACCCTAAACCCCAAACCCTAAACCCCAAACCCTAAACCCCAAACCCTAAACCCTAAACCCCAAACCCTAAACCCTAAACCCCAAACCCTAAGCACCAAATCCCAAACAGGTGTGGACAAGGGTCCAGCAGTTGCTCGACCAGCTCGGCTGTGGAGTAGGCCTGAACTCTGCTTGGAGGTTTAGGGTTTAGGGTTTAGCGTTTGGGGTTTAGGGTTTAGGGTTTAGGGCTTTAGGGTCTAGGGCTCAGGGTTTAGGGAGAAACCCCAAGCTGCAAGCCTCTAACCCGCCCCAAAACATGAACAAATCCTTCCGTATAAGGGCAATGCTGGGTCTTGAGCATATGGTAGACTGCGATCAGCCATCGCCTAAACCCTAAACCTTGAACCCTTAACCAGAAACCCTAAACCCGAAACCTCCCTGCAGCGATTTGGGGCAATAAGGCTTATGGACTGTTGGGGTTCAAAGGTGTAGGGCTTGGGTGTGTCAGGGTTGTGGGCTGTCACAGTAACCATCAGCTCTAGGTTGTCGCTACTAAGGCATGTGCCCTTTGGCCCCTGTTCAAGGTAGGTACGGCCTAAGGTTTAGGGCTTTGGGCTTGGGTTTGGGGGGGCATGGGGCTGCCGGCGGGTCTCGGATACTCTGGTCCACGAGACATGACCAAGAATCACCCTGAATTCCTAAAGTTCAGAAGCCCAACCTGGCCCTAAAGTCCTGAACCTTGGATCTAAGCCCAAACCCTAAACCCCAAACCCGAAACCCTAAACCCCAAACCCGAAACCCAAAACCCCAAAACCCCAAAAGCCCAAAACCCCAAAAGCCCAAAAGCCCAAAAGCCCAAAAGCCCAAAAGCCCAAAAGCCCAAAAGCCCAAAAGCCCGAAAGCCCGAAAGCCCGAAAGCCCGAAAGCCCGAAAGCCCAAAAGCCCAAAAGCCCAAAAGCCCAAAAGCCCAAAAGCCCAAAAGCCCAAAAGCCCAAAAGCCCAAAAGCCCAAAAGCCCAAAAGCCCAAAAGCCCAAAAGCCCAAAAGCCCAAAACCCCAGAACCCCAAAACCCCAAACCCCCAAGCCAAGCTGCCCAGACGCCAGAGTGCACGGCCAAAGGCCGTGCAAGCAAGAGCACCTCCCCTGGGAGCCGGCTACAGGACTCTCGTTGAGTGAGGGGGGGGGTGGGTTTAGGGTTTAGGGTTTAAGGCTTAGGGCTTAGGGTTTAGGGTTTAGGGTACAGGGTTTAGGGTTCAGGGTTAGGGTTTAGGGTCTAGGGTCTAGGGTCTAGGGTTTAGGGGTTAGGGTTTAGGGTTTAGGGATAAGGGTTTAGGGTTTAGGGGGGTTTAGGGGGGTTTAGGGGTGCGCTGAAATCAGAAGTAACTTTGGAAGAGCTGCTCGGGAAGATGTGGCGGGTGGCGAAAAGCCCGCGTTCGCAACCTTCGTTCCACCTGAACACACCGCTTTGCATGGGCGCTTCGGTTCTTGCCTGGTTCCCTAAACCCTAAACCCTAAACGCTAAACCCTAAGTCCGTGAGACAAAGAGAGAAAGAGAAACAGAACGAGGGAGGGGGCACTGCGTTTTGGGAGCTGGCATACCCTGCAGCTTGCTCAATGAGATCAGACTGTAAGCCCTAAACCCAAAACCCTAAACCCTAAGGCCCAAACCCTAAACCCTGAACCCTAAACCCTAAACCCTAAACCCTACTAAACCCTGAACCCTGAACCCCGAAACCTTAACCTAAAAAGGACAGGCGCCCTGAACCAATCGGCTGCCCCTCTCTGCCTGATCTCCAGAGGACCCACAAACTCTGCCACAGGTGGAAGTTGTGCAACCCAACACCAAGTCTCCGGAACCTGCAATCGAGGAGGGTTTAGGGCTCTTTTTGTAGGGCCTTTTGAGGGTTCTGGGGTGTTAGGGCCCTGTAGGCTTCTAGGGTTTAAGGGCCGTTTAGGGCCTAGGGTTTAAGGGTTTAGCGTGTTAGGGCCTTTTAGAGGTTTAGACGGGTTAGGGTTAGAGTTGTGAGGATGGTACGTCTGCGGGGCCCCCGACAAGAAGGTGCTTGAAGCGCAAGCCCGTCAGAGTCACCCCCAAACCTCCAAACCCCCAAACCCCTAAACCCCAAACCCCCAAACCCCAAACCCCCAAACCCCTAAACCCCAAACCCCCAAACCTCCAAACCCCAAACCCCCAAACCCCTAAACCCCCAACCCCAAGCTCTTAACCCTCATGGAGGACAGCCTCGACATAACACTCGCACCCACGGCCTGCAATTTCGGGGCAGGGTCCACGCCCAAATTCTCGCCTGGCAGAAGCTGTGGGTTTCGGGTTTAGGGCTAGGGTGTAGGGTTTAGGATTTAGGGTTGAGAGTTTGGGGTTTGGGGTTTGGGGTTTAGGGTTTAGGGGGCCTAAGCCCTAAACCCCAGAAGCCAAAACCCAAAACCCCAATCCTCAAACCCTGAAACACCGAAACCCCAAAACCCCAAATCGGGGGAACTCCCCATGTCCATGGCCCCGGCTAAGGTTGACATTGCCCTGACAATGCCTCAACCTAAGAACACTTTAAGTTAGCCTCAAAAACCTAAACTCCCAACCCTGACCCTAAACCCTAAACCCTAAACCCTAAACCCTAAACCCTAAACCCTAAACCCTAAACCCTAAACCATCCCAGGCGCCTCCGAAGAGCGCTCCCTCCCCGCGACTTTGCGCGAGAAGCTCCAGGATCCGGTCACGCACGGAGTGGACCTGAGGATGGGCTAGGGTTTACGGTTTAGGGTTTGGGGTTTGGGGTTTAGGGTTTAGGGTTTAGGGTTTAAGGGTTAAGGGTTAAGGGTTTCGGGTTTCGGGTTTCGGATGTAAGGTGTAGGGTTTAGGAAACCCTGAATCCTACATGTCCTGAAAACATACTCGGGGGTCCCTGGACCTGGACCCCTTAACTGGGTTCAGAAGCAACCAGAGTCCCAGTGAACGCTCGTCGGTGCCCGAGGGGCGCCGGCGGGTTTAGGGTTTAGGGTTTAGGGTTTAGGGTTTAGGGTTTAGGGTTTAGGGTTTAGGGTTTAGGGTTTAGGGTTTAGGGTTTAGGGGTTGAGGGATTGAGGGCTAGGATGCAGGGCTTAGGGGTTAAAGTTAGGATTTCGGGTCTTGAAGCCAGTTCAGTGGTCCCTATAGGCCCTAGTACAGATTGTGCTTATGATTCTCGCATGGTCATTGAAGAACCCCTATATCCTCAAACCCCTCTGACACTTAAATAAGAAGAATACCCAAGACCTGCACACCCGAAAAGGATCCACAGGGTCAGCTACTACTCAAAACCCATAAGGGAAGCTGCCGAAGCGACCCAAAACAAGCCCTCAACCCTCTATGAGCCCTGAACTACCTAAACCCTAAACCCTAAACCCTAAACCCTAAACCCTAAACCCTGAACCGGGCCCCCAGCCCCAGCGAGCTCCTGGGCTGAACCTTGGAGCAAATCCGGCGTGTCCAAAACCTGCGATCTGCAGAGAACAGCAAGAAGCCCTGCGTCGAACTCCTACCTAAGATAGTCAGATCGTAAGACTATGGTCATATTTGAGTAGTAATATGTATATATATATATGTATAAATGTATATACATATATGTATATGTATGTGTATGTGTGTATGTACAGATAGAGTGATCATCTAAACGGCCTGTGTCAAACCCCTACACTAAAATGGCACGATGGTGCTTTTTTTATGGTCGCAATATGTGGCAACCGTAGAGCGAGAAAGAGCAAGATAGTACTACCACTGTAATCCTGTAAGATCCAAGCCCTAAGATCCAAGGGGTTTAGGGTTTAGGGTTTCGGGTTTAGGGCTTAGGGAAGACTGTAGGTAACTATTCCCTAAACCCCCAACACCCAACCCCCCCCCTAAACCCCCTAAAGACCCTAATCGCACTAAACCCAACAGACCCTAGACATCCTAGACCCTACTAAACCCTATGAACCCTTAACACTCGAAATGCCCTACAACACCTCAACAACACGTTAATACCCTCCTTTGAAGTAGACCCTTAAAAACGCGTATATGCTTTTAGGTAAAAGTAGCTATAACAAGAACCCAGAACTAAAAAACACACACATTAAAGTATGTAGCACTCCAACACCCTCAACCCTAAACCCTAAACTCTAAACCCTAAGCCCAAAACCCAAAACCCTAAGCCCTAAACCCTAAACCCTAAACCCGAAACCCTAAACCCTAAAGCTAAAGCCCTAAGCCTTAGAAACAGTGGGAGGGGGGACCTCCAGGAGCTGCGCTGCCCTCTCCAGGCGCCCGGTGGCGGCCGCGGCCACGGCCAAGGAGGCCACCGCCTGGTTTAAAGGTTCGAGGGTTTAGGGTTTAGGGTTTAAGGTTTTGGGGTTTAGGGTTTAGGAATTGGGGTTTAGGGTTTGGGGCTTGGGGTTTGGGGCTTGGGGTTGAGGATCTGAGAGATTATGGTGTTTAGGGTTAAGTTTACCCAAACCCCAAACCCTAAACTTCAAACCCTAAACCGCAAACCCCAAACCCCAAACCCTAAACCCCAAACCCTAAACCCGAAACCCTAAACTCCCCAAAAGGAAAGGGGGCTCGGGTTGGCCTCCGCGGATTTTAGGCTCGTGCTCTGGGACCGAAGGAGCTCCTGGAGTCGAAAGCCAGTCGCAGGGTTTAGGGTTTAGGGTTTGGGGTTTAGGGTTTAGGGTTTAGGGTTTAGGGTTTGGGGTTTAGGGTTTAGGGTTTGGGGTTTGGGGTTTAGGGTTTGGGGTTTAGGGTTTAGGGTTTGGGGTTTAGGGTTTGGGGTTTAGGGTTTGGGTTTTGAGGGTTTGGCGTTTAGGGTTGCCTACATCTGTATAAATAGAACAGTTTAGGGTGTAAGGCTGTTAGGGTCCTTCTTTGGGTTGTGAGGGCTTTTAAGGGTTTAGGTTTTAGGGCTCAGGAGGTCGAGTGAGACTGGGTGTTGTAAAGAAGTGTCATGAGATTGAGGGGAAAGTACTGGAAAGTGTTTCAGGCTCCTGTCTGTTGAGGTTGCAGGGCTTCAGGGTTCTTCGGCCTTTGGGTGTTTGGGGGTTCACGGGTTTAGGGTTTAGAGTTTAGTAACTAGGGATGTTGGCCCCTGTTTGAGGGCATGCAGAACAAACTGCCGTCAACCGTCCTCGGCCACAGCCCAAGCGCTCACCACCTGAGAACTTCACTTAAGCAAGGCTTTGCAGCGGTTTAGGGTTTAGGGTTTAGGGTTCAGGGTTTAGGGTTCAGGGGCATGGCTCCCAAAACCCTTAAGCCCGAAAGCCGCCAAGTTGCCCTGAGCCCGAAGCCCGTGACCGGATTCTTGTTGAGGGGCTCAGTCTATAAGTTGCCGCAATCATAGTAAGGACACTATGTATTGCAACCCTATGGCGGAATTCAGTTCAAGCTCCGTGCACAAACCAAATTGCTACAGCAGCGCCTGTGGACATAGCTTCCAGCGGTGGGGAACAGCTCATGGATTCTGGAGCCGCCACTCAACAGGCCTTAACCATTCAATACACCCCCTAAAGCCCAAAAGCCCTAAAGCCGAAAACTCCTATTGAAATCCCTAAACAGTTGATGCCCTAAACCCGAAACGCGAAACCCCTAAACCCTAGCCCTAAACCCTAGCCCTAAACCCTAAACCCTAAACCCTAAACCGTAAACCCTAAACCCCTGAACCCTAAACCCTAAACCCGCCTCCCCGTCATTCAGGAAGTGCTGCAAGGACTGGAGAGTCGGCGCCTCGTACGATTTGCTCGTTGGGAGCTCTATCCCCGTTAGGGTTTAGGGTTTAGGGTTTAGGGTTTAGGGTTTAGGGTTTGTTTAGGAGGGTTTAGGGTTCAGGGTGTAAAGTTCAGGGCGGCTGAGGCTTCAGGACTTAGTGCTCAGGGTTTAGGACAACTGAAAGGATTCATTTAACATGACATCTACTTCGTTGCTCTTTAACCCCCCAATAAAAGTTTAACTTTTCGCTCCCTTGATATGAAATTAGAGGAACCCCAAAACTTATGGAGCGATGAAAGTCCCACCTAGTCTAACAGGGGAATTCGACTGTTTTTCGGGCGGGGGGATTTGCGATATTGACCGAAGCGCACACAGTCTCGCGTTAGGGTTTAGGGTTTGGGGTTTTGGGTTTAGGGACCCTGAACCTGAAACAGCTGCGGTCATCAGCAGCAAGAGTCGGATCATGCTTTCCTAGCCCTAGCCCTAACCCCTACATAAACCCTTCCTAGCTATGATCCTCTTCCGCACCCCCCCCCCCCCCCCTACTTTAAACACAATGATCATGTGACCGGCTTGGACGGATTTCCTTCATAAACCAAGTATTTCCTTCATAGGGCAATTATTTGCAGCCAGTCCATGATGCTGTTAAGAACCTAAACCCTAAACAAGAGGGGGGGGGGGGGGAGGGGGTGGGGGAGGGGGGGGAGGGGGGAGGGGGGGGTGGGGAGGGGGGAGTGGAGGGAAAGGGCGGGGGGAGGGGGGGGGGGAGGGGGGGGTGGGGTCCAACGACGGGTTTGGAGGGATTCGCCGCAAGTCCAAGCCCTCGGTTCCTTGCCTCCTTGCCCATGTCCCTTTCTTCCTTCCTGCCTCCCCTCTTCATCAACCCCCGTGTACGCGCCCTCAACCTTGGCTAAACCCGCAAACCCTGAACTCTGAACCCTGAACCCTGAACCCTGAACCCTGAACCCTGAACCCTGAACCCTAAACCCTAAACCCTAAACCCTACAAAACCCAAGAGCCTAAACCCTGAAAGCCACGAAATTGCAGCCGAGCTTCTCCACAGATTCGGCACAGCCACTGACCCAGTCCACGGAGCATGGCTCACATGGAAAGCTAGGGTTTAGGGCTCAGGGCTAGGGTTTAGGGTTTAGGGCTTTGGAGATTAGGGCTTAGTAGGGCTGCCAGTGCTTACTGGCGTCCCAAACCCCTACCTCGATCCTGGATAACAGCTTCACAACCAAAACAATTTCGTGGTACGTACTGGTAGGTTTAGGGTTTGGGGTCTAGGGTTCACATCTTGGGGTTTTGTAGGGGTCTAGGGCTTCGGAAAATTGGGAGTCCCCAAGGAAGACTTCGCCCAAGCCCTAGCAACTTGGTTCACATGCGGCTGAGGGTTGAGAGTTAAAATCCCCTAAGCCCTAAATCCTAAAACCCTAAACCCTTTGTTGAACTAACTGTATTTGGGAGGGACCGCAGCTGGTGTTTAAAGAAAGGCACGGGAGTCGCCAACTTCGTGTATTCACGTAGGAAACCGGGGGGGAGGGTGATCAGGCCAAGAAACCCCAACTAAACCCTAAACCCTAAACCCTAAACCCTAAACCCTAAACCCTAAACCCTAAACCCTAAACCCCAATCTGTGCGCAAAAGGGACACCAGGGTGGTTTAGGGGTTTTAGGGTAAACCCTAAACCCTAAACCCCAAACCCCAAACCCTAAACCCTAAACCCTTAGGGTGGGGTGTAGGGGCTCAGTGTTTGGAGCTCGGGGTCGAGATTTCTAGTTTAGTTCGGGGATTCAACCCTGAACTCTATAAACTCTAAACCCTACTTGGAGGTTCATGGTACTCATGAACCAAGTATACCTGTACTTATAACCCACTTATAAGCCTGTTAAGTGCCCTAAGATGGTTGTAAGTACAGTTATAAGTACAGGTATAATTGGTTGAAATAAGTACCATGAACCTCCAAGTAACCTCCCTAAACCCTCAACTCTCAACCCTAAACCCTAAACCCTCAACGCTCGGTACCAGACGGCCGATGGTCGTTGCCATCTGCGGCCGGGGTGGCGGCGAGGTGACGGCAAACTTGGAATCCTGCTTCCAGGGTCTGACAGCTGCCCTAAGGGGGCCCTAAGCCCGAAGCCCGAAGCCCGAAGCCCTAAGCCCTAAGCCGTAAGGCCTAAGCCCTAAGCCCTAAGCCCTAAGCCCTAAGCCCTAAGCCCTAAGCCCTAAGCCCTAAGCCCTAAGCCCTAAGCCCTAAGCCCGAAGCCCGAAGCCCTAAGCCCTAAGCCCTAAGCCCTAAGCCCTAAGCCCTAAGCCCTAGCCCAAGCCCTAAGCCCTAAGCCCTAAGCCCTAAGCCCTAAGCCCTAAGCCCTAAGCCCTAAGCCCTAAGCCCTAAGCCCTAAGCCCTAAGCCCTGCCCTCACCACCCTAAACCCTAAACCCTTAGGCACCCTAAACCCTAAACCCTGAACCCTAAACCCTAAACCCTAAACCCTGGATACTAAACCCCTCAACCCTAACAGCAGGAGCACTGGAGATGGGCCTCCTCCATGTCCCGGTATTTGCGTCGGAAGAGCCATTGGCAGCACCTTTGAGGCAAGGAAGGGGGTTTAGGGTTTAGGGTTATAGGGACAAGGGTTGAGGGTTTTAGGGTTGAAGGTTAGGGTTTCAGGGTTTTAGGGTAGGGTTTAGGGGTTTGGGTTTTATGGGTGTATAGGGTGATCCACAAGCTACGAAGTGGACCCGCGCCCTGCGCCCACGGACAACCCCAACCCCTCAACCCTCCATCCACTGCACCGAGCAGCCATGACTAGGATGGCCCTTAAAGCCGTGTGAAAAAATCCTGAATATGATCCTCTTGAAAACCCAAGGGAAAGAAGTACTGATAAATGTTCTTAGTATTATAACCCCTCTGAACAAAATCCTGAATATATATGATCCTCTAGAAAACCCAAAAAGGAAAAGGGTACTTCTAATTGTACTTATAAGTGTATTAGGGCACTTGAGGGGCTTACAAGTGGGTTCTAAGTACAGATATAATTGGTCAATGAGTGGCATGAAACTCCAAAGCAATAAATATAACCCCTATATATACCTCTTATAGTCCCTCTGTACCTAAGTAGCCCCCAAATAACCCCTAAATGGCAATACAACTCCCTCATTAAGGGTCCCTCCTTTGGTCCCTTGAATGAAAGCCCCAAACCCTAAACCCTAAACCCTCAACCCTAAACCCCAAACCCTAAACCCTAATAAATACCATGAACCTCCAAAGCCATGAAAGCCCGAGCTCATGGCTTCATTCGCAAAAGCGGCGGCTGCAGGCGTCTTTAGGGGGCTAGGCCATGGCACCGGCACACTGAGTTCTGGAATGAAGGCTGGGATGCTACCCTAAACCCTAAACCCTAGACCCTAAACCCTAAACCCTGAACCCTGAACCCCTAAACCCTAAACCCGAAACACTAAACCCTAAGTAGTTTGGGCTACGCATTTTGGGTGAGCATCTGCTGCATGCAATGGTATTCCTTGCCTTCCATGCAGAGTGGTCTCTCAATTTGCGATATGCGAGCATGGAAGTCTCAAGCCGAGATTCGGTTTAGGGTTTAGGGTTTAGGGTTTAGGGTTTAGGGTTTAGGGTTTGGGTTTAGGTTTTAGGGTTTAGGGTTTAGCACCATCTCCTAGGCACTCCAACGAAGGCGCGGGCTGAGGACTATGCAATTCGGCTACTCTCGGGGCCTTAATTCGAAGAGGGTTTTGGGGGTTATGATAGTATAACTATAAGGGGGTGATTATAGTATAACTATAAAGGGACCATAAATAAGGAATACCATTAGTAATTCATCCGACCCCTGCAGTACACGGTCACTCCGGAAGTTTTTTTCTGCCGAATTTCCTCAGCAGGTCCCTCCACACACTGCCGTCCAAGGCAGTTCCAACCGCCTTTTTGTCATGTCTGCGGTGCACATCTCTGCACTTGCGGCTGCAGGGGAGTTTAACCTAGTTGCTGAGCACCCTGGGCCGAATCAGGCTAACCTTTCAGAAATGGTAGGATTGAAAATACCCCAACAGGCAAAGGGTTACCAACTCAGCTGCTGAGTTAGCTGCTGTAAGTACCGGAGACTGCATGTCATGTACTTCTGGTACATGTCAACGTAAACCCTAAACCCTAAACCCTAAACCCTAAACCCTAAACCCTAAACCCTAAACCCTATGTGCTTCAGGTCGCAAGACATGACAACCTGGCTCAAGTCCCATGGACATGAGGCGCTAAGACTCACGCCACGCGCCTCTTAGTGAGAGAGTGACGTGACTCTAGAACGAAGCGAAGCTGCCTCAGTTGACCTCACACGGTGAGGGAAAGAGCGGCTTAATCCCCCCACATCGGGACGCTCCCTCTTCTACCAACAGTCCTGAATAGGGATTGTTATAGGGGCACTGCAATGCCTATTAAGGGCTGTTGGTAAAAGGGGGAACTTCCCAACACATACCAAAAAAACCGAGGTCTTATGTAGATCATGGGGCCACCGAAAAGCACAGACTCAGAGCTGCCAAAAGTTGGTTCGGCAACATCTCGGGTCTTTAAGGTTTGGGGTTTAGGGTTTCCGAACAAGATCAGGCCTTCGAGCCTGGCTATATGTCACAACGAACAACCTGGAAGATGACTGTCAGGGTCCGACCTGAACATGCACCTCTACTTGGAGGTTCATGGGTGCTTCTAACCCCACTTAAAAGTCTATACTTATGACCTACTTAGATGACTTAGGGGGCTTGTAAGTACAGTTAGAATTGGGATTACAAGTACCCATGAACCTCCAAGTATCCACGCTTCAGGCCCTGTGTGGACATTCGGTGGCTCCAGGATGTAGGGTTCTGACGTTTACTACTATTTGCCTAAGAACCCCAACAAGCAAATAAAAGACCATAATCCCTATTTCCTTGATAAGGAAGACATTCTTTGTTTGGGGGGGGGGGGGGGGGGGGCGGGTTCTTAAGCTAGTGGTAGTTTAGGGTGTATGTATCTAGGGTCCGGGTCTACTTGGAGGTTCATGGGCCCTTATAACCCCAACTAGAAGTCTACCTATAACCTACTTAGATGACTTAGGGGGCTTATACGCGCAGTTAAAAATTCGGGGGCTAGAAGTGCCCATGAACCTCCAAGTAGGATTACAGGGTTCTTAAGGCAGGGGGGGTTCCAAGGGGGGTATGTAACCCAAGGTTCCCCAGTACTCCCCACGACTCCCTAAGGCTCCCTAAGCTTCCCTAGGGGTTTAGGGTTTAGGGTTTAGGGTTTAGGGTTGAGATGCCAACCCCCATGAACCCAAATCCTAAACCCTAAACCCTCCCCTCTGCCGTAGGAGGGGTTCCAGACCTCCAGGAACACAGTTCCGGCATTGCCAACCACCGTGGCCCAACCTCATTGCGGAAACGAAGATGGCCCTTCAAACCCTGGCTTTCGGGTTTACAAGCAAATGATATGACGAAAAGTAGATACAATCGGAACGATAGTAACCGCAACCAGGTCGGCCTTTACAGCCATCTGAAGTATTCCAACAAAGGTTGTCTGCTTAGACCCAATAGGTAGAGCATATGTGAAATGTCACCGTGTTGTACCTATGTAACACCCTAAACCCTAAACCCTAAATCCCCTAAACCCCTAAACCCTAAACATAGCTGAGCAAGACTCAAGGGTACCTGCTGCATTCACCGATGTGACCAACTGATGCCAACTGCATTTTCCGTTCCGGTACGGGCATCTCTGCGCAGCGGCACCTCAATGCATGGGCTGACCTCCGACCCCCAGGGTTTAGGGTTTAGGGCTTTTAGGGTTTATAGGGTTTAGGGTTTATAGGGTTTAGGGTTTATAGGGTTTAGGGTTTATGGGGTTAATAGGGTTTATAGGGTTTAGGGGCCCCCCTCTATACCACCCACCGGAATTAAGGCTATTTAGGGACAACTGATTAAGGTTATTTAAGGGGGGAACCTGGTGGGGTAGGATAGAGGGGGAGTAGGGAAGCCCATGGGCACCTTATGCATGCAAGCTCCGCATCAGGTTCACCTGCGCAGGGAGCGGACATGCCAACCAGAAGCACCCAGAAGCAGCTTCCGTGCAATCGTGGAGTAGATACTCGTGCTTGATGCCTAAACATGCCTTAACCATAAACCCTGAACACCCTAAACCGTCCTCAAGCCCTAAAGCCTAAAATTGGGGGTCTCATGTCCTCGGCCCTCGAGCCTCCTCTAGGCATTGCCGTTGATGGTGCGAGTCGTAGATTCGCGAGTACATGACCACGCGGTTTGTCGGCCTATTCACGACCGCGTAGTCACCTCGTTTGCGGATTTGGGGTTAAGGTCTAGAATGGTCTAGACATACCCCTGCTTTTTGCGGGTTCCTGTGACCAGGATTATAGCGTGCAGTGGGGAGTGTTTAGGGGTAGTTGCCCCTCTGCTGGGAAGCCCACATCTTGCCTGTGGCCAGCATGCGCAGCATACATGCCTCCGACACAGCACACTTGTCGAAACGAAAGAGTCCACCTTCGGAATGGCCCTGGAAAAGATGCACCCACAAAGCATCGTTTTGTTTGTGGCACCTCCCCAATCAGATATTACCATCGTTGTAAATCAGACACTCCCACCGAACCCGCGCAAGGGGCCCCTAATCTTGGGACCCTAAACCCTAAACCCTAAACCCTAAACCCTAAACCCTAAACCCTAAACCCTAAACCCTAAGCCCTCCTGTATTGCTGTAGGATAAGAAGGCTCCGCGCAGGTCTCGACACAAAGGCCTCCCAACATCCAGAAGGTTTATAAGGGTTTAGGGTTTAAGGGCTTCGGGGCGTCATAGTGGCGTCGGGGTTTAGGGTACCCTAAACCCCTAAACCGCAAAACCCCTAAACCCCAAAACCCAAAACCCCTATACCCCTAAACCCCTAAACCCTAAACCCCAAAACCCCCAACCATGTTGGAGCCACTGTTCGTCTGAGGCACATAACATCCCGGAACGGCCAGGCAACAGACCAGGAAATTGCGGTCTGGCGAGCAGTTTGATCGGGGACTCCTCGAAGATTTGAGAGACGTGTCCTGTCAGCAGCTGCAGCGCATGCGCATGAGGCAGAAACCCCTAAGGGTTTAGAAATTTAGGGTTTGTGCATGTGCGCCCAAAGTTAGCCTAAGCCCTAACCCTAAACCCTAAATCCTAGACCTTAAACCCTGAACCCAAATTTAATGGGTCCAACGCCCAGTTCCTGTACCCCAGAGCCCGAACTGCGAAAGGGCACTTGGAGGTTCATGGGTACTTATAACCCTAGGATGGCCCTTAAACCCCTCTGAAAAATATTCCTAGACATGACCCTCTTAAACCCAATGAAGGAAAATGTAAAATGTCCCAAGTGCCTACTTATAACACCATGTAGGACTGTACGGTTAAGGCCCCCCCAAGTCCTCCAAGTAGGCTGTCAGTTAGGGTTTAGGGCTTAGTGTTAACTGCAAGTGCCCGCATAAGCCCCCTAAGTCCTCTACCCATGAACGCCAAGTAGGGGTTCATTTTCAGGTTAAACCCTAAAACCAAAACCCGAAACCATAAACATCATCCTGCAACCCTAAACCCTAAACCCTAAACCCTAAACCCTAAAACCCTGGGGTTATAAGCATTCATGAACCTCCAAAGCAGTGCAGACGCCATTCCCTTGGGACCTCTACGCGCGGCAGGCTTCGCGAAACTGCCTTCTTCCCTGACCTGACGTCAACCTGAAGCTCTAAGTTTAGGGTTTAGGGTTTAGGGTTTCGGTTTGAGGTTGGCTGAGCATGGTCTGGTAGCATCTGCCGACTCCAGAAAGAGCCAGTACTGTGATGCCACACACGCGCGCGCCACGTGACTTCTTTCAACAACATGAACTAATGTATAGGGGCCTGAATGAATGGATGAAGGGATCACACGAAACCCTAAACCCTAAACCCTTCAGATTGCTCTCTCCTCCTGGGTGGTTGACTTTGGGCATTGGCCCGTTGCGCACGCTCCACTGGTCGTAGGCCTGTCTGGCGGATTCAAGACAGTCGCAGTTGCTATTCTGTTGCTGCACTGGTATGTAGTACGTGCTAAACCCTAAACCCTAAATCCTAAACCCTAAACCCTAAACCCCAAAAAGGCCGAAGCCCGAAACCCTTGCAGTGGCCTTTCTGAGCAGCGCAGTCCCAATGTTTCCATTCCCAGTGGCAGCACGGAGCTGGCCCTGGAGGGTTGAGGGTTGAGGGTTTAGGGTTTAGGGTTAGGGTTTAGGGTTTAGGGTTTAGGGTTTAGGGTTTAGGGTTTAGGGTTTAGGGTTTAGGGTTTAGGGTTTAGGGTTTAGGGTTTAGGGTTTAGGGTTTAGGGTTTAGGGTTTAGGGTTTAGGGTCTAGTGTTTAGGGTTTAGGGTTTAGGGTTTAGGGTTTAGGGTTTAGGGTTTAGGGTTTAGGGTTTAGGGTTTAGGGTTTAGGGTTTATAGGGTTCAGGGTTTAGGGTCTGGGGTTGCCGGGGAGGAGCTAACATGAAGCAAGTTCCCATAAGATGGACATGTGGCACAAAACAAGATATCTGGCTTCCTTGTCATGGAAACTGAACTCACGTTCCTGCAACAGCAACCCAGTAGGTTGTACTTCTGTTGATGCTAAAAATCCTGCATCAGTTTTTCCACAACCCAATCCCCTTGCCACCCCTAATTTTAACATTGATGCAGAGTCCAGTCCCCAGAAACCCAGCGGCGCGAGTCATGCAAATCCTGCATGACCCCATGTGCCCAAGCAACATTGAAATTAAGGGGCGCGCAGGGGATTTCTATACGCAAGTTGGTGTGTGGGTGGCTGGGGTCATGCAGGATTTCTATCATCCACCGTCTCGCGAATAGGGTTTCAAGCTAATCCCGTACGTTGCCAGTTTCGAGGCGATGTCGCAGAACGTTATCAGGCTGGGTTCTGCCCATTTATGTTTGGGGGGGGGGGTGGGGGGGTGGGGGGGGGCATTTGGCACTGCAAGGCGAAAGTGCACCAGTGCCTAGTCATTGTCTGGAGGGTTGGGGGGTGGGGGGTTGGGGGGGGGGGTGGGGGGGGTGGGGGGGGGTGTTGGGGGGGGGGGGGTGGGGGGGGGTGGGTGGGGGGGGGGGGGGGAGGGGTTAAGCCATTTACCAACTCCCCATCCCATTTACAAACTATTTACAAACTATTTACAAACCTATTTACAAACCCATTTACAAACTCCTTTTAGGCGCGGGCTCTCGCGGGCACTGAAAAGAAATCCTCCAAGATAGACTCATTTCCTGTTTCCACATGGGAGCTTCCGCTCCTTAAAGAGGAGTTTGTAAATGGGTTTGTAAATGGTTTGTAAATAGTTTGTAAAATGGGATGGAGTTCGAAATGGCCCCCCCACCCCCCCACACCCCCCCAACCCCCTCCCACCCCCCCCCGGCCCCCCCCCCCACCCCCCCCCCACCCCCCCCCCCCACCCCCCCCCCCCCCCCCCCCCCCCCCCCCCCCACCCCCCCCCACCCCCCCCCCCCCCCCCCCCCCCGCCCACCCGCCCCTGCCGCCCCCCTCCGCCCCCCCTCCGCCCCCCCCGCCACACCCGAAGCCCCCCCACCGAACTCCCCCTCCGCCCAGTCTTCCACTCGTCCCCACACAACTGACTTGAGAACGCCGCGCCCCCTCCACGCAGGAATTGTCAAGTCTGCGTTGGCTGGAAACTGATCTTGCGCTTTGGTCTTGCGGTGCCACAAAAAAAGGCACTTGCGATCATGCAACTGACTTCCTGGTGCACCACTGTTGACGCTACAACCCGTCAAGTCTCCATTGGCTGGACACGATACACATTGCGCGTTGCCCTTGTGGTGCAAAAAAGGGGCACTGGCGATCATGCAACTGACTTACGCAAGCCTCCTTTGGCTGGACACGATGCACATTGCACTTTGCCCTTCTGGTGCACAAAAAGAGCACTTGCGATCGCGCTACTGACTTCCTGCTGCTTCTTGCCAGAGAAGGCACCCTGGTACGTACTGTTGATGCTAAAAATCCTGCATCAGTTTTTGCCACAACCCAATCCCCTTGCCACCCCTAATTTTAACATTGATGCAGAGTCCAGTCCCCAGAAACCCAGCGGCGCGAGTCATGCAAATCCTGCATGACCCCATGCAGAGTCCAGTCCCCAGAAACCCAGCGGCGCGAGTCATGCAAATCCTGCATGACCCCATGTGCCCAAGCAACATTGAAATTAAGGGGCGCGCAGGGGATTTCTATACGCAAGTTGGTGTGTGGGTGGCAGGGGTCATGCAGGATTTCTATCATCCACCGTTCCTTTTGGGTTGCCTTTGAGAGGGAATCGTATGCCTCTGGGGGAAGGGGGGGGGGGATGTCGCTACTGCCCAACATGGGTTTCTTTCTCAAGTCTAGGGTTCAGGGTTCAGGGTTCCACGTGTATCCTTCCACACCCAAGGAGGGAGACTAAAAGAAACCTGACCCACTTGTAGCAGGCACCTGGTTGACACCAGGACTATGGAGCTTGTCGTACCAGATCTTGAACTCCTCAAAGCACAGGGTTTAGGGTTTAGGGTTTCGGGTTTAGAGTGTAGGGTGCAGGGTTTAGGCTTCCGTGCTCTGAGAAGGCATGGTCCTTCAGGGCAACATCCATCAAAGGATGCTGCGCAGAAGCAGCCATGAACCTGCAGCTATTATGAGTCAAAGAGTGCCGGCCCATGTCGCTCAACGCATCACTGCAGAGAGAAGATGTGCCAGAGGGACGACTTGTCAGTCTCCATCGCCTCTTAGCCACTTACTTCACACCAACCCCAAGCCCAAACCCGTCTCAACCTCCAGAGCCTAACCCCCCCCCCCCCCCCCCCAAACCTTCAACCCCCCCCTGCGAAATCGCTTAAACCCTACACCCTAAACCCTAAACCCTAAACTCTGAAATCTAAACCCTAAAGCCTAAACCCTCCCAAGCTCCAAAGCTGCAGCTCAAGGGGCGCTTGGAAGAAGTCTGCGCCGGCGCGCACGGTCGCGAAGGTCGTTTCGGGAGCAAGCTGCGCCTCGCAATGTGGGGTTTCGGGCCTTAGGGGTCTTGGGAGCCCTAAACCCTAAACCCTAAACCCTAAACCCTAAACCCTCAAGCCTAACCCTACTTTGGCAGCACTCATTCTTGGGCTTAGGCTGGGTTCAGGGGGGTTCGGACGGCTTAGGGCTCAGGAAAGTATGTCTGTTTTTAGGGTAGTTAGATGGTCCCCTGGTATGGGCCCTTAAAAGGGGACCGCTGATATACCCGTATATACCCTATACAACCCAAGGGCCCATACTTCAGAACCCTATAGAGGGGTAAGGGACCATATTAAGGGCCCATCCCATGATACTACCCTAAACCCTAAACCCTAAACCCTACACCCTACACCCTAAACCCTAAACCCTAAACCCTAAACCTTAAACCTTAAACCTTAAACCCTAAACCCTACCCCCCCCCCCCCCCCCCCCCCCCCCCGCCGAATCTGTGAGTCTGCGAGCTGGAGGATGCCTCCGTATGAACGCGCCCCTCCTGAAACTGCATTTAGGGATTAGGGTTTTAGGGTTTAGGGTTTAGGGTTGTTCGGATTAGAACCCCCTATTCAAAAATCCTACAAAACCCAAAAAACCCAAGAACCCAACGAAAATAACCCTTAAAGCCCTAAACAAAAACCCTGAACCCCCCCCAATCCCAAACCCAAAATAACCTCAAAACCAAACCCTAAAGCCCCCCAAAAAAACCCAAAAAACCCAAAAACGCCAAAAAACCCAAAACCCCAAAAAACCCTGACGCACCCAAAATCCCAACACTGAGCCGCATCACGGGTGTTTTGGTGTTTTGGGTTTGGCCCCCGCCCCCCCCCCCCCCCCCCCCCCCCCACCCCCTCTCATGCCCTGGGCCCACCTTCAACTCCGGCGTGACCACGATGTCGGTATCAAAATAGAAGCCGCCGAGGGTGTACATCATGGCAAGGCGGCAGATATCCGACTTGATCATTCCGACCTGATGAGTCTTTCTATAGGGTGTCGGGAGAATTACTCGTAAGATTCGCTTATGGCCCTTTGTACTTCTAGAACCCCCCAACACCCTATTCTAATTTTTCAGGCCTGTATTAGGGTTTCGGGGCTAGGGTTGCAGGGTTAAGGGTTAAGGGGGGCTTAGAACATGGGAGGGGGAGGGGAATGCCAGGTGTTGGGGGACTTCGGTCGGGCCTGCAAGGGGCAGCAGACTGGCTTCTTCGGGTTTGGAGGAACTAGAAGCCATGAGCCCTGATTGTTTAGGGTTTTAGGGTTTTAGGGTTTCAGGGTTTCAGGGTTTCAGGGTTTCAGGGTTTTGGGTTTAGGGTGTAGGACAAGTTTAGGGTTTAGGGTTTTAGGGTTTCAGGGTTTCAGGGTTTTCGGGCTTTAGGGTTTAGGGTTTCGGGTTTAGGGATACTGCTTTGGGCACCTGATGCAAGCCATGCCACCCGCGTGTACCCGAATGAATCCGCACCGGGGGCCTGCTACCCTAGACTCCACTCAGCCTTAAACTCCTGAACCCTGGAAACCCCTAAACGCTAAACCCTAAACGCTTAACCCTAAACCCTAATCCCTAATCCCTTTAGAGCCTAAACCTTACACCCAAGCACCCCGGGCGCCGTGAACTCCAAATCCCCGCAACCTTCAGGTATTCTTGAACTGAACCCGGGGGCGCCTACCCTAAGCCCCTAAACCCTAAACCCTCAACCCTCAACCCTAAACCCTGAACCCTCAACCCTAAACCCCTAAACCCCTAAACCCCTTCACCCCTAAACCCCTAAACCAAGCCCTAAACCCTAAACCCTCAACCCTAAACCCTATAATTACCCTAAACCTTTGCCTGCTCCTGAATGAAGTCGATACTCAAAGCTTCGCTTTCCTGGAGGTTGGAAGCCCCAGAGGATGCCACGCGCGGGGCGGCCCAGGGTTGAGAATCCATGGGGGCAAAGGGGGGTTTAAGGTTTAGGGTTTAGGGTTTAGGGTTTAGGGTTTAGGGTTTAGCGTTTATAGGGTTCTCAAGTCCAAGCACGCACTAGTCAGGCAGCTTCTCAAGCGACGGAAAAAGACCCACCCATCCAGAGAATCCGATACCATTAAGATATTAACCGTTTCACAGGAACACGCAACCCAAACTAAGCAGCAGCCCTCAACTCACACAAACACTACCCTAAACCCCAGGCCCTGAACCCCTAAAACCCTGGCCCTGAACCCTAAACCCTAGGCCCTGAAACTCTGAACCCTAGGCTCTGAATCCTCCAAGCCCCAGGCCCTAAGGCTACAGCCCTGCACCCCAAACCCGGAGTCCTGAACCCTAAACCCTGGCCCGAACCCTAACTCTAGACCCTGAACCTTGACCTTGCCCAGTGCTTCTTTTTTGTTGACCTGGCCCAATCTTTTATGTGATCCTTCCATCTTGCCCAATCTTCTTGAGATTAGAGGTTTAGGGCTTATGGTTCAGTTCAGGGTGTAGGGTTTAGAGTTTAAGGTTTAGGGTTCAGCAGGGTTTCAGAGCCTTGGGGCTTGCGGGGCTCGCGGTCCTTCATGCTGAGAGACCCCAAGCCGTTCTCACAGTCGTCATCATCCCAGAAGTGGACATCTTCGCGAGAAACCTGGCCGCGTCAGCCGGAGTTTAGAGGCTTGGGCCCTAAACCCTAAACCCTAAACCCTAAACCCTAAACCCTAAACGGTTTAGGGTTCTTGCGGGTTGTAGGAGATCCAGAGCTGGGTGCCGGGAGGGTCCTGGGGTTGACACCCAAGCGAAGAGCTCTCCCGGGAGTCCAACATGTCTTTGCAGGGTTTAGGGTTTAGGGTTTAGGGGTTTAGGGGTTTAGGGTTTAGGACTCGGGGTACCTTGTTGGGCTCCTTACTATACTATACGGATCCTGCTATTGGGGTCTATACTTAGGGTCCCTTATTACATTCTAAGCCCCCAGATGTCAAGGGACAATCGATTCACACACTCTTCAGCCCAGACAGCCTGGACATCCCTAAACCCTAAACCCTAAACCCCAAACCCTAAACCCTAAACCCTAAACTCTAAACCCCACATATGTGTGGCCTCGGGAAAGATGCTGATGATGTGGAGTACGTTCTCGCGGAGCAGCATATCATGCCTGGCTCAGGGGGTTTAGGGTTTAGGGTTCAGGGTTTTGGGCCTTGACCCCCCAAGCAGCAAGTAGGGGAATCTGGGACATGTGCCTGATGCGTCTCATCTGCTTTCGTCCACTACAGTACATTTTCGCCAACCTTGCTTGCCTTCTTTGCAGGGCTTTCTGAGATGTTTGCTGACGGTCTAGTTCCACCTGTGTGAAGTACTTCTGGCATGCTCACACATCAGCTTTCCAAGCTAAGACTACATTCCAGGAGCACCTGCCACTTCGATTCAAGGACATGTTTCCGGAGAAGGGCGAGCGAGGTGGGGATCACATCCAAACATCAGACTGCGCGCAAAGGATGAAAGAATGAACAAGAAGAACCCTAAACCCTAAACCCTAAACCATAGACCCTAAATCAACGAAGCAGTCGCCCTGAAAATTGAGCTGCGAGGGGCAGACTCAACTTCTGTTCTTCTGGGCAGGGTTGCTTGTCTAAGGGTAGTTACGTGGTCCCTTAACACTCTTAAGGTTTAGGGTTTAGGGTTTAGATAAGAGTTTAGGGTTCAGGCTTAGGGTTTAGGGGTAGTTACATGGTCCGTTAGAAAAGGGCCTCAAAAGGGGACCCCGTATATACCCCTCATATACCCTATACAACCCAAGGGCCCATACTTCAGAACCCTATAAAGGGGGTAAGGAACCAGATTAAGCGCCCGTGAAACTACCTTTGAAACTTGACTTTAGGGTTTAGGGTTTAGGGTTTAGGGTTTAGGGTTTAGGGTTTAGGGTTTAGGGTTTAGGGTTTAGGGTTTAGGGTTTAGGGTTAGGGTTTAGGGTTTAGGGTTTAATTATTGCCCTCGTCTGACACGCGGCTGTTCCAACAGAGCTATGCCCAACATTAACAACAACCAAAGCTCCTCCCTCAAGCCTCCAGCAGCCCAGCCTTTTCTGCCAGAACCACTGCAACCCTTAAACCCTAAACCCTAAACCCTGAAAGCCTCAACCCCTTAAACCGCAGATCGAGCTGAGGGTCGGATTCAACTCAGCGTCCTGCTTTTTCAGAAGATTGACCTGCTTGGACTGTACTTCTGAGTTTTGGAGATAGGGTTTAGGGTTTAGGTTTTACGGTTTAGGGTTTAAGGTTCAGGATTTGTGGACTTTACAAGCCTTCGGAGAATAAAGGGTTTCGGGGCTTTGGGATTCTCGAAATTCAAGGAGGACTCCGTATCAGCCTTGTAGCAATTTTGGGATGCAGGGTCCTTGTTGCACACGCAAGGCCGTAGGAAAACTAAGGGTTTAGGGTTTAGGGTTTACAAAGAGTGCATCGCCCGACTCCCCACACCCTGCAAACCCTGAGTCCGCAACCCCAAACTCTCAGCGCTTGGGCACTACAGTTTAGGGGCCTGAATTAGAATAGGTTTGGTTTTTTTGTTCTTTGGTGGGGGGGGGGGGGGGTGATTATTGTAGAATTACAAAGGGCCCATAAGGCAACATTTTTGGCATTTATTCCGACCCCTATGTTATCGCATACCCCCCCCCCCAGCCTTGTGATTGAAAAGCAGCCTCCGGGGAATTTTGGTGGCGAAAGACCCTGCCGCATGAAACGCCGCAGTGGGTGCCGCAGTGGGTGCCGCAGCAGGCGCCACCTGTTGGACAATCTTCTTTGCCAGGTCCTGCCGACTGCTGGGGTCCGATTGCCTATTGGCCCTCCCCCCAACCCTATAAACCCCGTGAAGCGCCCTAAACCCTAAACCCTGTTGACTCTATAAACCCTTAGAAGCCCAGCCCCAAACACTATAGGGTTTAGGGTTTAGGGTTTATAGGGTATAGGGTATAGGGTATAGGGTTTAGGGGAGGTGGTCCAAGGTTGATTGTAGGGAGGTCTGAGGGCCCCCCTTCTTCTGGGGGGAGACTCCCATTTTTGTGTACTTTATGCATATTGGCTTATGGGGTCGCTCAGAATAGGCCCCTGTGAGCCCCCAACCCTAAACCCTAAACCCTTATAAAACCCTAAATTATAAACCCTAAACCTCCAAAGCCCCAAGCTTGCCTGAGCCGGAGCGGAGATGGCAGCGACTTCCGTGGTCAGCCGCTTCAGCAGGCTCTGGAACGCGGAGGGGTCCGATGGGTCGTCTCCTCCTAGCGTGGACTTGTTTTAGGGCGTGGGAGGTGTGTGGGTGTGTGTGTGTGGAGGTTATTGAACGTAAGGCTTAAGCGGCTTCACTGAAGTTTCAGACTTCCGTGCCATTTCCGCACCCCGCCCTTGCTAGGAACAGCATAGCCTGGGCTTACGAAGGCGAATTTCAACATCGAGCCCACCCACCCGCCTTGGCGTGCGAGGATATGGGCTGCCAGCTGCACAAACTGCGCCTAGCCGATCTGTGTCCCTGTAAACCCCAAACCCCTCCCTAAACCCCGAAATTCTCACAAGCGCGCATTACGTCATAGAATGATGAGGTGCATGATACTTGATGCATAAACCCGTGAGTGCGGGAATCTTATGGCTCCTTATCCGATGTCTAGTTGGGCTTTGCTTTGATAGCTTCTTCTTGAGTTTTCTAGCTTTTCCCAGATTCTGCTAACTTTGTCTAGGCTTTCATCGCAAAATGGAAGTTGAGATCGGGAGGCCCCTAAAAAGCTAATGGCGACAGTGCAGGAAGTGCCAGGAAGTGCTTCGATTTGTGGAAACTGAAAGTGTCTCTGTGTGTGTGTGTTTGTGCTAGAAGGTATTTAGGCAAACATGATGGATGGAATTCTTTAGCCTTTTTATGATCTTTTATGGCTTGTCATGGCTATTCTTAGCTTTGCGTGTCATAGCTTTCGCTGGTTTTCCAGGCTTTCCCGAACTTTCCTGGACATCCCGGATGCTTGCTGGATCTTTCCTCAGCTTGCAAAGAATAACTTGATGAGTCTCATACGCAGCGTGCTACAATGATAAATCTCTAAACCCTAAACCCTAAACCCTAAACCCTAAACCCTAAACCCTAAACCCTAAACCCTAAACTCTGAAAACCCCAATTTCGTTCAATTTCGGTTCCCCCCTGGAGTAGCGAACCAGGAATTGAAAGTGTCCAGCGCAGCTCTTCGTAGATGCTCCTCGAGTCCAAGTGTGTATCGGTATCCCTAAACCCTAAACCCTAAACCCTAAACCCTAAACCCTAAACCCTAAACCCTAAACCCTAAACCCTAAACCCTAAACCCTAAACCCTAAACCAATGAAAGAACTTCGACGAAGGATCTCCCGGATCGAGGCAGCCTCGAGCACCCCTCTCTTCTGCATCCAGGTTCGGAGTTTAGGGTTTAGGGTTTAGGGTTTAGGGTTTAGGGTTTAGGGTTTAGGGTTTAGGGTTTAGGGTTTAGGGTTTAGGGTTTAGGGATTTGCTCTGCACGAGCCGAAGAACACTTGTTGCAAGATAGAGCAAGAGAGTAAGAGCTAGATCTTCAAGACGAGCTAGAAGCAAGCCTGTCTCATGGGCAGCAACAGACGCCCGACTCCAACACTCCCCAGCAAAGGGTTTAGGGTTTAGGGTTTAGGGTTTAGGGTTTTGGGTTTTGGGTTTTGGGTTTAGGGTTTAGGGTTTAGGGTTTAGGGTTTAGGATGTTGAAGATACGTTGTCGCAAGTGCTGCCACAGTCCCCAGCAAGGTCCAGGCATCTCCCAGCGACAGAGGCTGGCATCATGACACAGATGCCACGCTCACTACCGGGCATAGGTTTTTTTTTGTTAGGGTTTCTAAGGCTATCCCCCAGTAGCCTTGCCGAACTCCACGGAAGATCCAGTGGGCCTGAGAATGCAGATTGCAGTTCTGCAAAGGGTTTCGAATCAGCCCTGAACGCCAAACCAAAAACCCTAAATATTGGATGAATCACTAGGATACCCCTCTGAAAAATATTCCTAAATATGACCCTCTTGAACCCAATGAAGGAAAATGTAAAATGTCCCAAGTGCCTACTTAGAATCAGGAGGGGGAGGACTCTATTTGAATCCTGGATACGGCATTATGGGTGTGGCCCGCGCGCGGCAAAGGGTAAGGGGTTTGGGGCTGCAGGGGCTTGGGGCTTATTGGTATACGGCCTTGGTAGCCCAGCAGCCATCTTATAATGAGGGTACCAATGTGTTTGCTGGGTTACTTCACAAGGGATCCCAGGGCCAAGCAAAGGGTAAAGGGTACCACTGGGCCAGCAAGCGGCCTTATTTCAGGTTGAACCCTATAGAACTTAAATGCGGGCTGCAATCTGCATCCACGTCACCTCCTAGAAGCCCCTTCTTAAGGGACACTCAAAAAAGGGTACCCCCCTACTTTCGGAAACCCCCCCCCCCCCCCCATTTGGGGTTGCAAGGTGCATCCACGTCACCTCAGCTTGAATGGATCTGCTTCATTGTGAGCCCCAGCTGCCGCGAGCTTGTGGCCGTTGCCAAGAGCGGCACAGGCCAAGACAAGAGCTGCACGGAGCATGATCCGAGGTGCTACCGCTGGAAATGCTGGAAGTTATGCAAAGACAAGTGGCATGGTTTAAGCTTTAAGGTCTTGAAGAATGCACTCTGCTGATCTCTACCACCTGTGGAAGTGTAGCCAATGCCGCAGTGTGCGAAACTGCCCTAGACGATGCAAAGGAGGCTTCCAGCAGGACCACCCCATGGGGGCCCGAAACGTAGCTCGAGCCGACAATTGTTCAGATCGGTCTATGCTGTATGAAAACCACAACCCTTTGTGGTCAGGTCTCAAAATTCGGGTCCCTCCTAAATACTAGGGGCCCCGCCTGATATAAACAAAGACCCATACAAGGGACCTTATTCTAGAGGAATAAACAACCCTCAGCCCTATGCCCTAAACCCTAAACCCTAAACCCTAAACCCTAAACCCTAGACCCTAAACCCTAAACCCTAAACCCTAAACCCTAAACCCTAAACTGAAACCCTGAACCCTGCCTTCTCTTTTCCGAGATGACACATCGGTGTCTCAGAACCAACCCAACCAACCTATATGTGCGAAATCAAGGTTCAGGGGTCCCTTCGAGAACCCCCAAACAGCACAAAAAGTTCGCCCGTGTCTCCAAGATCCTCCAAGAGGGTTTCCGAAAACCAGGGTCTAGGGTTTAGTCGGCTTAGTGTTAGGGTTCAGGAATATATGCTTTCGGGGGTAAAATTTAGGGCACCTCTTTATGGCTCCCAAAACCCCGTATGCAGTTGGTTCTTGAGGGTGCTTCCCGACATAGAGGTACCCCATGTACCCAAGCATTAGGAGCTTGGCGGCTAAATGGCTTCAGGAGCTTGTCCTGCTAAGCAGAATGAAAGATTAAAAGTCCGAAAGTTTGCACACGAACGGCTTAGCCTTATGCATGCAAGCTCCGCATCAGGGTCACCTGCACAGGGGGCGGTCATGCCAACCAAGAGCCGCCAAAAGCAGCTCCCGTGCAATCGTGGAGTAGACACTCGCGATTGATGCCTAAACCATAAACCCTGAACACCCTCAACCGTTCTCAACCGTAACCCCTAAACCCTCAAGCCCCAAACCCTAGAATTTGGGGGTCTGATATCCTAGGCCCTCGAGCCTCCTCTGCGCATTGCTGCTGACTGTGTGAGTCGTAGAGGCGCGAGTACATGACCACGCGGTTTGTCGGCCTATTCACGACCGCGTAGTCACCTCATTTGCGGATTTGGGGTTTAAGGTCTAGAGATACCCCTGCTTTTTGCGGGTTCCTGTGAAAAGGATTATAGAGTGCAGGGGGGAGTGTTTAGGGGTAGTTGTCCCTCTGCTGGGAAACCCACATCTTGCCTATGGCCAGCATGCGCAGCATACATGCCTCCGACACAGCACACTTGTCGAAACGAAAGAGTCCACCTTCGGAATGGCCCTGAAAAGATGCACCCACAAAGCATCGTTTTGCTTGTGGCATTTCCCCACTCAGTTCCCACCGTTCTAGGAACCCCAGAAAGGGGCCCCCAATCTTGGGACAACAAAAACCCTAAACCCTAAACCCTAAAGCCTCCTGTATTGCCACAAAGGCCTCCCAATATCCAGAAGGTTTATGAGGATTTAGGGTTTTAGGCTTTAGGGTTTTAGCGTTTTAGGGTTTAGGGTTTAAGGGCTTCGGGGCTACGTAGTGGCGTAGGGCTTAGTTGGGGGTGTGGCCGAAGGGTTTTAGCTTAGGGGGCCACTGTTCGTCTGAGGCACAGAACCAACTGGAATGGCCAGGCAAGAGATCAGGAAACTGAGATCTGTCGAGCAGTTTGATTTGGAACTCCTCGAAGATTTGAGAGACGTGTCCTGTCAGCAGCTGCAGCGCATGCGTATGAAGCAGAAACCCTAAGGGTTTAGGATTTAGGGTTTGTGCATCTGCGCCCCAGGCTCGCCGAAGCCCTAGCCCTAAGCCCTAAGCCCTAAGCCCTAAGCCCTAAGCCCTAAGCCCTAAGCCCTAAGCCCTAAGCCCTAAGCCCTAAGCCCTAAACCCTAAACCCTAAACCCCAGATTGTGAGTAGATTTTGCAAACCATAGGGTTTAGGGTCGATAGGGTTTAGGGTTTTAGGGTTTTAGGGTTTAGGGTTTAGGGTCCGCCGACCCTGGCGGCGTGTTGGATGGGAAAAGGAGGTGAAAACCTCCCTTTCCCTCCTTACCCCCCCAAAACGCGGGGGGGGGGGGGGGGTAGGGGGGGTACCCCGCCAGCTTTTCTGTGGAGGAACAGGCCACCCACACCGCGTAAACCACGCACCCACCCCACCACCGCCCCCCCCCCCCCACCCCCCCAACCCCCCCCCACCCCCCCACCCCCCCGCCCCCAACAGGAACCGCAAACAAAATCACCAAACCCCAAACCTTTCTCCTGCGGGGTCGGCGGCTTGAGCCGGAGGCTCTTAAATTTAGGGTTGACTTTTGGTTGCGGTTTTCTCTGATACGTGCCCTGTCCACTCAGGATCTCTAGTGTTGCTTCTAAATGCTCCTTGGCCCTAAACCCTAAACCCTAACCCTAAACCAAATTCATGGGTCCAACGCCCAGTTCTTGTACCCGAGAACCCGAACTCCGAAGGGCCCTGGGAGGTTCATGGGTACTTAGAACCCCATTTGTAGTGCTTAGGGTTTAGGGTTTAGGGTTTAGGGTTTAGGGTTTAGGGTTTAGGGTTTAGGGTTTAGGGTTTAGGGTTTAGGGTTTAGGGTTAGGGTTTATCTGAAAACTGTACGTTTAAGGCACCCCAATTCCTCTAAGTAGGCTGTCAGGGTTTCGGGTTTAGGGTTAACTGCAAGTGGCCGCATAAGCCCCCGAAGTCCTCTAAGTAGGTTATAAGGAGACTGAATTATGGGGTTGTAAGTACCCATGAACGCAAAGGCTGCAAAGGAGGGGTTCACTTTCAGGTTTAACCCTAAAGCCCAAAGCCGAAACCAGAAAGTACTACATACTACTGGATGCTTGCTGAGAATTTTGTGCTCCACTACGCGAGGTCATGATGCCGCAAACGCGTGCCACGTGACTTCTGCCAAAAATTTGAACTACTGCATGGGGGCCTTATGAATTAAAACAGGGTTTTCGGGGTTATTATCGTATATAAAGGGAGCAGAAGAAACCCTAAACCCGAAACCCTAAGCCCTAAACCCAAACCCTTCAGATTGCTCTCTCCTCCTGGGTGGTAAACTTTGGGCATTGGCCCGATGCTCACGCTCCACTGGTCGTAGGCCTGTCTGGCGGATTCAAGACAGTCGCAGTTGCTGCTTCTGTTGCTGCACTGGTATGTAATATGTGCTAAACCCTAAGCCCTAAACCCTAAACCCTAAACCCTAAGCCCTAAACCCTAAACCCCAAAGGGGCCGAAGCCCGAAACCCTTGCAGTGGCCTTCCTGAGCAGCGCAGCCCCAATGTTCCCACCCCCAGTGGCAACACGGAGCTGGCCCTGGGCGCAAGACTTGGGTTTAGGGTTTAGGGTTTAGGGTTTAGGGTTTAGGGTTTAGGGTTTAGGGTTTAGGGTTTAGGGTTTAGGGTGTAGGGTTCAGAGGATTCAGGGTTTGGGGTCTGGGGTTGCCGGTGAGGAGATACAAGAAGCAAGTTGCCGTGAGGTGGACATGTGGTAAAAAAAAGAACTGGCTGCCTTGCCATGGAAACTTAACTCACGTTCCTTCAACAGCAACCCAGTATGTTGTCTCTAAACCCTAAACTCTTAAGCTTAAGCCTGAGTGCTCAGCTAAGCCTTCTCACGTACAGGAGCGTAACACACCTTGACGGGAATGTAAACAAATGACCTTCTAAGTCTTACCTAGAGGTAAATGGTAATTATAGAATATAATTACAGCCATTTACAGGTAAGTGCATGTCTGTATACAAATATTCTTTAATATTTCTATAGACAGTACTGTCAGTACTAATACAAGAGTTATTTAACGCCCTAAAACCCTGACATCAAACCCGGATCAGAAAATGGACCCTCGAGTGCTCGTGGCCAGCCAAAGGCCTTGGAGCCAAAAATTACTCGGGAACAGCGCGTTTTTCTTTGTCTGGCCTTGCTAAACCGTGGTGGAAGCCAAAAATTACTCCAAAACAGTGCGTTTCTCTTTGTGTGGCTTGTCTGAAGCTCTTTCGAAGGTCTGAAAAGCTCTTTCAGGAGGCTGAAAGCTTTTTCGAGATCCCAAGGAGGCTCCGTGAGGGGTACCCCAGGATTCGGGAAAAATGGCTCGATTCCTAGTTAATTTTAAATAGATTTTAAATAGCGGAAATTACCCCCTGATTTTCTAAAATTCTGGCCTTCTTGTCCGTAGCCCAGGAGAAGGTGAGCTCCCTTCTGCCTTGTCAAGCCCGGATCAGAAAATAGACCCTCGAGTGCTCGTGGCCAGCCAAAGGCCTTGGAGCCAAAAATTACTCGGGAACAGCGCGTTTTTCTTTGTCTGGCCTTGCTAAACCGTGGTGGAAGCCAAAAATTACTCCAAAACAGTGCGTTTCTCTTTGTGTGGCTTGTCTGAAGCTCTTTCGAAGGTCTGAAAAGCTCTTTCAGGAGGCTGAAAGCTTTTTCGAGATCCCAAGGAGGCTCCGTGAGGGGTACCCCAGGATTCGGGAAAAATGGCTCGATTCCTAGTTAATTTTAAATAGATTTTAAATAGCGGAAATTACCCCCTGATTTTCTAAAATTCTGGCCTTCTTGTCAGTAGCCCAGGAGAAGGTGAGCTCCCCTCTGCCTTGTCAAACCCGGATCAGAAAATAGACCCTCGAGTGCTCGTGGCCAGCCAAAGGCCTTGGAGCCAAAAATTACTCGGGGACAGCGCGTTTTTCTTTGTCTGGCCTTGCTAAATCGTGGTTGAAGCCAAAAATGAAGCCAAAAATTACTCCAAAACAGTGCGTTTCTCTTTGCGTGGCCTCTCTGAAGCTCTTTCGAAGGTCTGAAAGAGGCTGAAAGCTTTTTTGAAGGTTCAGGGAGGCTCCGTGGGGGGTACCCCAGGATTCGGGAAAAATGGCTCGATTCCCAATTAATTTTAAATAG